CATGGCGACGATCGTCACCGAGAAACTCGAACTCCCCTCGACGGACGCGAACGTGGCGGTGATCAAGTGGCTGCGCTCGCGGCTGCCGAAGTCCCCGCTACGTGGTTGGGTCCTGGACGAGCGGCGAGCCTATCGGCAGGTGCCGATCTCTCCGGCCCATCGCAAGTGGAGTGTGGTCGCTCTGAAGGATCCGGCCACGGGAAAGGTGGCGTTCTTCGTGATGGTCGGCCACTCCTTCGGCTTGGTCTCGGCCGTCTATAACTACAACCGCCGCTCGGCTGCGATTACCGACATTCTAAGGCGCGTGTTCATCGTGGCCGGCTTCAACTTCTATGACGACAAGTACGGCTTCGAGCCGGAGGCCACGGCAGCTAGTGCGTTCGCGCTGGCCGAGAAAGTCCATTGGTGGCTCGGGGCCCGGTTCGATCAGCAGCTCCAGCTCTGCTCGGATCCCACGATCCTGGGCGTGACCTATGACCTCGATCAGTACTTGCTCAAGATCAAGAAGTCCAGGAAGCAGGAGCTCTTCGACGAGATCTCGTCGATCCTGGAACACGAAGAGATGTCTCCCGGCCAAGCCGGGAAGCTCAGAGGAAAGCTGATGTTCGGCGCTTCGCAGCTCTGGGGGAAGATCGGCCGAGCCTTCCTGAGATCTCTGTCGGAGAGGCAATACTCCCGGAAGACGGTCAGTACGAGCCTATCGCCTGCTCTCCTCTACTCCCTCTACAAGTGGCGGACGCTCGTGATGCATGGGCCTCCGAGGCCTATCCCCAGTTCGGGGCCGCGGAAGTCCGACGTGGTGATCTTCACGGATGGATCGGCGCCGAGCTCGAACCCCAAGGATCCCTCTTCTGAGATGATTGGAGGAGTGATGTTCACTAGGGACGATCAGCCTAGGCAATTCGCCTCGGGGGTGTCACGGCAGATCATGTCGAGGTGGTTCCCCCGGAAAACCCAAATTTGCATGATCGAACTTTTGGCCGCGGTCGCTGCGATACAGACTTTCAGGGAAGAGATCCGTGGAAAGCTGGTCCTCCTCTTTATCGATTCCGAGCCTGTAGAGGCAGCTTTGATCAAAGGCTACTCTGCAAAAGAGGACGTCTGCGAGCTCGTAGGAATTTTCTGGGAGCTTGTTCTGGAGCTTAGGTGCTCTGTTTATATCGATCGGGTACCGACCGATTCGAACCCGGCGGATAATCCCTCTCGTGGTGATGTCGCTACAGGTCTGATGTGTGGTTGGATCACGGTCCTCTCGGACTTTCCGAAAGGAGTTTGAGGGCCTGGGAATATCGCTTGTCTGATGTGTCCGATCGGATGATGTTGCGGTCTGTGGCGAATGCCATGGCGCACCCCTCGGCGATCGGGGGTCCGATCGGACTTGTGAAGATCAAGTGAAATTTTGATGATCCGACTGTGGCCGACTCCCACGTTGCGGTCGCATGAAAAAGGTGCGATCGCCGATAGTCTGTTCAGTGAGGGCATCGAACGTCTGCGATCGTAGTAACTGGTCTCCTAATTATCGGTCTGGTGGGTAGGAATTAGGAGATCAGTTTCGCGATCGTTGGAACAGACTTGATCTATTTTCTCCGTGGCCATTTTGGCGATAGCCGATCGGGCCATACCGAAAAATCCCACCCTCTCCACCCTATCTGTTCTTTTCGGTATGCGGGATCCTCGCAACGACGTTGGCCTTCAAGCGCTCGCTTTCGGCGACACAGATCAGCTCTGCCGTCCCTGCGTGGATTGCGGCCTGTTCACCGGCTGCTTCTGCGACGGGGACGGCCAAGACGAATGTTACGCAGCCGTTCGGGTCCCCCGCGAAGAGTGGGCTCCCAACCAGCGCACTCCTTTGTGCACGGCTTGCGATCGTCGCCTGGATATGTGTCATTTCTGCCGAAAGACCCCCTGGGTCACGCCGCCGGCTCATCGTGATCGCGATCGTCACCAGCCGGCCGGCTACGATCACGGGGCAGATCCTCCCCTCAACTGGGATCAAGTGATGGGCGTGCCCTCTGTTCAGCGGCCGGTGCCCAAAGCGCCCCCGGCCAAAGCTCATCGCAACAGAGGCATGGATCAGCCGGTCTACTATGTGGATCCCAAGGCTGGTCCTCCACGCCAAGGCCGAGCGGCTCCGAAAGGGCGTTCTCCTTTGTTCGCCGAGCCTGCTCAGTACATAGTTCCAGGGCAGCCCCCCAGATCGCTCGACGCCGTGCCCGCTGACGTTCACATCAGCGGACCGGCTCACTATGTCATTCCGGGGCAGCCCCCGCGGCGGCTGGATCAGCTCCCGCCCGGTACGCAGCTCCCTCCCGGCACCGAGATCATGGTGCCTACGAGGAGCTCGAGTCCGCCGACCAAAGCGCCGCCGACTCCCGCCCAGATCGCGGCGTACCAGGCTTCTCGCGCTACTCCCGCTCGGACGAAAGCCAAAGCTACTCCTGATGCAGCTTTTCGTGCTGTCGAGCGGCAGTTGATCGACTTGCTCGGCGCGGCCCCCCTCGACGACGATCCGATCGAGGAGCCGTCGCCGGAGCCCGATGATCCGATCGAAGACTTTTAATTTTGTTCGCGGGGAATATCGCTTGTCTGATGTGTCCGATCGGATGATGTTGCGGTCTGTGGCGAATGCCATGGCGCACCCCTCGGCGATCGGGGGTCCGATCGGACTTGTGAAGATCAAGTGAAATTTTGATGATCCGACTGTGGCCGACTCCCACGTTGCGGTCGCATGAAAAAGGTGCGATCGCCGATAGTCTGTTCAGTGAGGGCATCGAACGTCTGCGATCGTAGTAACTGGTATATATATATATATATAGAGTGCTGCACCTTTGCTTGGGGGCCTGTGCCACACCCCTTGCATCGGCGGGGAGACGAGAGGTTGACCTGGAGCTGTTCAGTCCAGGCGAGCCTTCTCGTTTTCCCCAGCGGTGCTTGAGCTTCACTCCCGCCGCCACTTTGCTTATCCGAAACCTGACCGCGGCCCCTCCTTGGAAGGTGGCCCGCCAGTAGAGGGACGGAGCATGCTATTTGCCAGACTACCAGTACCACCACTTGTTCGATGGCAAGCTCTTCGAAAGGCGTCAGTCAGGGGGGCGAAGGGAGAAAAAGCCCTCCGAAAGGAACACAACGTGGAAGGAGTAGTGTAAGTTGGCCGAAAGATTGAGTTCAAGCTCAGGAGCTCCGAGGGCAGCGACACAGCAAGCCACTCCGCGAACGCAGAAGGGGGAACCCAAGAAGCAATCACGGAACCATGGCCAAGTGAAGCCAGCTGCACGACTTGGCACGGGAAGTGGATTGGGGGAAGAGCGACAGCGAAGCCAACAGTGGCCCTGACGGACGTGACCCTACCCAGCTCCGGGGGAGACCGACCGGACCAGCCGACAACAAAGGAGCCGACAGGACTCTTGAAGTGAGGGGCGTGTGAACAAGTTTTGAGGAGGAAGTGCGATGCACTAGGACAGTGTTTACCTATGTCCAGTTGTCGTGTTTCATGCTGCCTGTTCCTACAGGTCCTACATCTACCTTCCCACAGAGTCTTTTCCAACTTGCAATGTCAGGCCTAATTCTATGAGCCAGACACCACCACATATTGCCGGGGGAGCCACATGCCCCCCGTTTTGAGCTGCACTCCTGCCAAACGCTCGGCTTTCCATACAGTGATTTTGCCGCCAATTCGTAATGACTTTGACAGGGGACACTCGTAACCGCCTAGCCCTCCTTCCAGTGTACGTGAAATTACCAGAACGTTGTCTTGTTTTAAACACACAGGGAAGGGGGGACTTTAGGCTGTTTACTTGCCACTAGGATGGGGAACCCACAGATCCTTGTCATCAGCATGTTTCAGTGTTGCCGTGTGTTGTTTTCCGAAACAGTCATGTTGTTCGAGATGAGCATTTTATCAAGAAAAAGTGGGGGAACCACGCAACTTAGGCCTTGCTAAATGGGGAACCCGTCAGTACTTGTGATGAGCACGGTTGGTGTTATTGTTGTTGTTTTGCGGAAAGAGTCGGGGGAACCACACAATTCGCAACAAATGCTTTTCAGGTCACCAGTTGTGGACTGACTACTCACCATTGGTTTTTCCGGGGGGTGTGCCCGGCGAAGGACTCAGGATCTAGCTTTAGTGAGCGCGGTGACGAGGCCGGGATGTGGGGTTAAAGTCCGGGGAGGGTCGGGTCCTTAGCGGGCACACGCCACTGGTTGCACCAAACGAGGGAGAACACCCCCAAAGCCTCTTCGACCGCCAAGTCGGAGAAGGGGGCGCCTTGAGAGCGGGTCCGCGACAGGGACTCTTCCTTTGCGAAGCGAAGAGCGAGCTTGTGAAGTGATGAGAAAATATTTTTGTTGCCATTCCTTCCCATTGTCTTCTCATAATCGAGTACATTGCAAGCGTGAATACGACAATGAAACAACGAAAATCAACACTCTATTCAATCAGGAACAAGATTGACCGTACCTCGCGATCAACCTCTGAGTTCAACCACCAGAAGTGGATGTCTTTACTTTCATTTGATTCTTTGTGACCATGAGCCGCAATTCCGTCTGGCCCTGACCAGGAATGCTGTTGCCCGGACCGCAGGCTGCAAAGTCGTTCCAGCGGTGGCTTGGTTGGACAAGCCTAGCATGGGTTGTTCTCGAGTCACATTCAGATGCGGACTCGAACTGTTGCATGTCTCCTTGTGAGCTGAACTGTGCTTAGGTGGACTCCATTCGACGGACAGGTGATGCAATCGGAGGCAGATGCCTTTGTTTGTATTCCCCTTCTTACTTCGACGAAGGGGCCCACCCTTTTGCCCAGTCCCTTCGTTAGGCGGCGCCACCCCATTCGAACGCCTACCCCTTTCAACTTCGTGTTTCTTCTCGAAAGGGTTGCCGTTCACTCAAAATTTTTGCCGGTGCCTTCAGAGAGGGTCGCAAGGCTGAACTGCTGTGGCTGCTTTCGAACGGTTTGCTCGAACTTTCAAGGCGTTGTGGAGGAGCAGGCTTGGCGCTGTTATCGAATGTTATCGACTTCTGTACTTGTAGCAGCTTTCGGACGGTTTTCAGCACTCATCGTCGAACGGCTTCGCTTTTCTCTACAGAAGAACGCTGTTGGTTTTGGGGTCCTCCTCATCCACGAGAGCACGGACTGCAACTTAAACACTCCTCCAGCTGGTGCAACAGGAAAGGCCCGTCACTTCTACGTCGCGCGCATCGGCCATCCAGGGGAGGCTGGAGCGAAGCCACTGTGACTCGGCACTCAGGGTTGGAAGCTTTGAAGCCCCAGCACACAGACTGATGTTGATCCTAAGAACAGAGAGGGCGTACGGACTGCATTGCACCTCTCAAGGACAGTGATCGAAGGCTCCAAGAAGGGGAAGTTCAGCAACTCGTCCAACTGTGCTGTTCTGGCCCTGTCCTGGAGTCGCAGTTCTTTAGAATTCAATGTATTCCCTGCCAAGGCACCATCGTACTCCGGGGTGGTGGGCATCACCCCGACGTTCGGGACCTGGGAAGGGCTGGGGGTAGGAAGACGTCATGATTGCAGTCGATGCGGTACGGCAGCCTGAGGCGGCACATTTCCTTGCAAAGGCGAAGAAGGCCTTTCTGTTTGCCAGTGGCGAAAGCTTTAAGGTTTGAGCGGATTCAGAATTTCAGAGTTCTTGGCGATTCAAATTTACGGCGGGCCCGCCCGTGGCAAATCACGTTAAGTTTGGCTCCTCGCGGTTGTTTCGTGCAAGCTTTGCTGTGATTTTCCACGGCTGGCGATGTCAAAACTCGTAAGTCGTAAGCCTTGCTTCAACGAAAAGCGAAGCCATGGCTTACCGCCTACCCTCGGCAGCGGCCAGAACACGATTCTCAGGGACTGTGGGGCCGCAACCGACAGCGCTTCAAGGATTGCTTTTTAAACCTGTTTTCGAACTATGCGAGGGCTCTTGAAGCATCTTCCTTTTTTCCTCAACTTCTCTCACTTGTAAACCTCTGTCGAAGAATTCTCAGCAGGAATGGGCATGAGGAACATTCAAAGACCGTGAGAACGCAGCTGCATAACAGCTTTAGCCGCTACTCGCTCATCGCTCTTCCAGTGGCTTTTCAGTTTGTGAGGCTTTGACAGATTTGTACTAGTCTGGAGCAGCACTGCTTTGCTTATTGTGTCGGGGTCGAGCGTGGTAGGCTGCCGGAGCTGAGACCACTTGCGCCTCATGTTTTGCTGAAGGTTCTGCGCTGGGCTGTGCGCCTGGCTCGGCACCTGCAGCTGGAGAAGCCCGGATCAACGAAAACGAGCAGTCGCATCGCCGTGACGTCATCATCAGTGTTGAGGTCTTGGAGGGATCTTGTTTATGATCGTGATGTCTGTCAGTCTGTCAGTGTCTGCGTACGCTCCGACCTGTACGCTCAGGGTTCTACGAGGCTACGACATCTAGCGCAGCCCAACTTTCCACCCGAAGAGTGTTTTGCTGCAGTCTTCTGAAAACAAGGCTGTGTGGTTCGATCCACGCTGACCGGAGATGCTGCGCGCTGTCACTGCACCGTTGAAGCCAAGGAGTGAACTTCTCTTTGAGATGTGGTGCAGCCGATGGAAGCGAGAGGTCAGCCATGCGAGAGAAGGCCGCCAGCGCCTGCGAACGTATGATTCGCATGATTGCATACCTCATCTCTTGCGTTGGTCAGTGGAATCGAGCCACCAAAGCCCACTTGTCAGAAAGGCGGTCAGCCAGAGTTTGAGAACCTCGACATCTTGTACTACAGTGTGGCTTGGTGTGTTTGCATTGAGACATGGCCACCGGCAGCTGCGGTCTGTTTGTCGATTCCGACATCGGCTGAACCTCGTGCTGTTAATTGTTCGCGGTGTTGGCCTTCATGCCGAGTTTAGATGTTGTCTGCTTTTGGTATGAGGTCAACCGGGACAAGAGTTGCAACGCTCTCTTCCGCTGCCGCTTTCCGCCCTACCACAGCCAGGACGAAGAGGCAGCAATGTGGAGCAGCGCAATGAAAAATGTCCACGCCATTGATTGTTCAAAATTGCAGCAACAGTCTGGAAGTGGTTGCACTGGTTTACTTGTCAGGCTTCGAGCACCGAACGTGAGATTGTGACAATGCGCGACTGCACCGTCCGCGAATGGCTGGAGTCGTGCCTGAAGCGACCTCAGGCACGGTCGTCACGTGCATTTGCAGCCGGAGGACCGAATCGGTAGCTGCAGCTCGAATCTTCGTAGACAGAAGTTCAGTTTTGTCTTCCTGCTTTTTTTTGCAGATAGTGACATCAGAATCCCTCATTTTGCACTCGATCCGCTTTTTGTGACCCGTGGCAACAGAATCAGAGAATCTGTTGTCGCTATGCATGACATGCTTCGCAGGCGCAGACCCCCGCACCTTCAGCAACGGCGGCTCTCTCCACTGAGGCCGCCAATGACAGTCGCAGGGACTAGATACTGCTTGGACAAGCTGCATGAGAAGAGAAGGCACCCGTAGCGCAATTCGATGTCCCAGAAACTTGTAGGACCATTTATTTGGACGTGCAAGGATGCCGTCCTGACAGCAAACATGAACACCATCGGGAACTTCCTTCGCGAAGGTGCCTTGTCAATGCTTCTATTTCTTGGGGTGGTCAGAAGGTGTTGCTGTCGATGAAGCAGAGGGTTTTGACATGGCTTGCTTAAGAATTGGACAGCATCGTGTGGCAGAGACACGTTGGGAAGCTTGCAGGACTTCGATAAAGGGTTCTTTCTCGTGTTCAAGACAGAAGCAAACAAACAATGTTAGTTGTGGAGTCTCAGTAGTTTCTGGTAGATAGCCAGCTCGTCAATGTCGCCTGTGCCTGTGAAAGTGAAAGCATGGACTCGGATCATTGACTCTCCTAAGAGTTGTTCAACCTCCCCGTCGTGAGAAACACTCTGCACAGCCTCCCATCTATTGCTCACATTCGCCACACGCGCATCAGTTAGTTGCGAGAGTGCCAAGGAGTACGAAGTGACGGGGCTTCCACGGACCCACCTCTGCCTGAGTTGGGCAAGGCAGGGAATTGTTCTTCTGCCTTCGGAATTGCGACATCACGGGCAGCATCCCAGACTTCAGGTAGGTGGGGTGCGGGGCTTAATTAGATGGGTGAGGGCACCTGGGACGCTGTACAGATCACTTTCAGCAACTTGTCAAGACAAGGTCCCTTGTCGGAGTGCCAATGCTCAAACACAACCCGACCATGCAGAAGATCCCACATGGTGCCAAGGATGAATTCCGGAACTGTTGATCCGAGGTGCTCTGCTTTCAGCGGCTGCGCAGCCGTGTCGCACCCTGTCAGCCTGGGAGCGCTAGGCTGAAATGGAAATGTGGTATCACGAATTTCGTCCAGTCGTTTTGGAATCCGGATCGCGGATCTTGGAGGAATCTGAGGGCACCTGATTGGAACGCATGGCCTTTCACCCCCGAAGCCGAAGTTCCCACACCTTCGAAGCTCAAGCAATCCTTGGAATCGAACACCCCTGAGTTGAGGTCGTCGAGCTCCTCGAGAGCAGCGAGGAGTTACCCAGTCCCCATTCGTCTTTTGAGTGGTGGGGAAGGTAAACAAGGATCTGCGGAGTCGCGAAAAGTTAGTCAGGTTATTGCTCCTCGCATGCGCATCGCATATTGCTGATGGCTTGTCAGAAGCGATCTGACGTCTGCGGAGCTGGTGTGCTGGTGGTCTGAATGTTCATATGAAGAGGCACGGAATGATTTCAAAATGATACACTGGCAAACCTTAGGTGGAGCACTGCAGGGTCCGTATTCCACATTGTACTATACAGTACTCCAAGTTGCTTCCTGTACTCAAGCACCTCCCACTTCTCCAGGAGCGGGGGCGGCTGAGGTCCATGCCGGGCGACCTGCGAAGTACAGAGACAGGGCCAACCTTCACGCGTTGGCCTCTCGGCGCACGACCATGCTCGGCGACCGAACATCTTGAACTCAGGAAGCCTCAGGTGTAGAAACGCCCAGCTACGGTAGCCCCAAGCGAAGGTCGGCGTTGCAGAAGCCCGGGGAGCAGGTGCAAGCGCTTGTCTCGACCGCTTTAAGCCTGGGCTGCCCACATAGAATTGCGCGATGGCTTTTTAGCTGCTGACTTGAATCGTCCTTCGCACATAGCCTGGCAGGTGGAGTCCTGCAGCTCCTCAGCCGAAGCGGAGGGCGAAGGGATTTCGGGGTTGACAAGCGTTGTGAAAATCTGGTTCTGCTAACACTGGGTTTTGTGCAGAAGCATCCGTTTTACATGCATGCGGGAATGCGTTTTTGATCCGTTTGGGGATCTGTTTGGGGCTCCGTTTTGGCCCCAGCTCCGGCAGGACCCCAAAACGGCTTTGCAAGCGGATCTCAACGGATCCAAAACGGATCAAAAACAAATCCCTCTCGAGGGAAACGTGGGTTCGGGGATCCGCCGCAGGACCCGTCTGGGGGTCCGCTTGGGGGGCCGTTGGGGGATTCGTTTTGGACCGTGTTTGCCGGGCCGGCGGGACTGGGGCCGGCTGGGTTGGATCCCAAACGCATCCAAAACGGATCAAAAGCGGATCCAAAACGGATCCCCAAACGGATCCCAAACGGATCTGAAACGCATATTTAGGGAAAATAGCATTTCCAGAGTTAGCAGGCAAAGCGATTCTTTGGTGGCTAAGGCTCTCAGATCCAAGCGGAGGATCCGTCGGGCTCTTCGCCTTCCTTCGAGCGGCGCCTTCACTGCATCTGCAGCATGATTCCAGTCTCAACGATTTCCCAGTTGCCCCAGCAGCATGATCAGCTTCCTCACATCTCGACCCACAGCCAGCATTCTGTCGGTGAAAGTTTCGGAGTCGAGGCAGGACAGCATGGAACAGCCAAACAGTGCCAGCCAAATGAACAAACCGGCACAAAGCTTCGAAAGACTCCAACAGAGCCAGTTAGAGACATTACCAATCGTGCTGGGGCCGCGGATGGACGGGGGAAGGGGGGACGGAATGATGATGATGGATGATGTTGATGATGATGATGATGATGATGATGATAAGTATTGTTACACTGATGATGAGGAGAAGCATAAGCAGACGAGTCGACATGCGTACTTTTTCAGACCCGTGATGCCAAGTCCACGAAGCCCGCATCCAGGAAATCCGGGGACAAAGAGCCCCGGCTGACCCTGGAGCTCTGGCGATTCTGCCGGAAGTGCAGCTGTCAGGTGGGAACTTGCTATGTTTTTGCTAGAGCCTAGGCTTCTCAGGCTTGCGTTTGGTTGGGTGAGTGCTTTGGGTCATTCCCAAAAGACCCCAAGCCCCAATGTGACCTGGGAAGGTCACTCCTCGGAGCGCCCTTTCCGAGTCGGCCAGCTGGCACTCCATGTCCAAATTCCTGGACAGGGCCTTCCAAAGTTTAGGTTTGGGGTCTAGTTTGGGATGGCTTCACGAGGGAAGCTCAGGGTGGCCCAGTGGGGGATGGAGCAATGCCCTGGCTGCGGGGCCTGGGAGGTCATGTGTGATCGTGGCGTGAGCCGATAGTTGTGGCATTCAGTCTCAGTTCCGTCCGGCATGATGCCACGCTTCCCTGCGTTGCATTTCCCACAGAGTCGAAATCCTTTGATCGGAGGACATTCTCTTGCACAACACCACGTCCGAATTTTCACCTCTGGCATCCAAGTTGCTGCCCACCCCGCCTGGGACTCCCTGCACACACGTCCCGTTTCGAGAGTCTCGCCGCGGTTGAGTTTGGCAGGCTCAGGTTGTTTCGATGCGGTTTCTGCGGTTCTGCAGTCCAAAGAGCCGTGTAAGGACAGGTCAGATGTGCATAGACTGCGCATGATTGCGCATGAAGATGCCCATGCAGCCCAGGACCACATCCTCTTCTGCGGCAGTCCGGAGCGGCCCACATTGTTCTTGGGATTTAAGCATCTCGGCTCGCAGCGGCCGAATTCGGATGTCATTCCTAAAAGTTACAAAGCACCACGGGGTTCAAGGTTTGGCAATAGAGCTGCGCATCGCCACTCGGTTGCTTAGGTGGGAGGCCGTGCTGCTATGGCAGCTGAACAGCCCCCATGCACCTCTCTGGGATGCGGCGACGGGGCTGTTCCTTCCGGCGCCAGCCACGGAACCTCGGCTTAGATTCACGTCCTGTTGCAGCATTCCTGCTCAAGGGCACAAGGCAAGTGAAGCCAAAAGAGGCAGGGGCAGAAGCTCCCTTCTCCTGCTTTGTTTCGCAGTCGGGGCAGAGCCAGAATCAAAGGCCTGCTGTCCGGCATGCAGATCGCGCAGCTGTTGAGAGCAGTACCAACAACACTCGCAGAAGTCACCGCTACTTGTGCGGAGCTACCGGGCGCAGCTCTTCCAGACCCTGCCTGTGACTGCACGGACTTCGGCATCAAAGAGGGAGCTCAACCTGATGGCACCAAAGGCGGTCCTCGCGATGACAGCTGAAGAACGCCGCAGTCAAACACTGAAGCCCTGGAGTCAACGGTGGAGTTCCCCAGACAACAGGTCGTAGCCTGCAGCTGCAGGTGGGAGCCCGATCCGAAAGACAACTCTATAGGATGCGGAGCATTGAAACCGCAAACCGTCCAAACCCTAATTTGACGATCGCAGCGGACGCACGCACATCTGTTCATATCAGTCACGGGATTTGCAGCCACGGTGGGTAGAGAGCGGTTGCCATGATGAATATGGTGACCGAAAGGAAGACTTTCAACGAACACCAGCTTGCTTGCAGTAGCTGCTGCGATGTTCCACAAACCGGGGCAGTTTCCTCATAGGCCAGCCGCTGCAGGATGTTCCACCTGCATACATATAGAGCTCACGGATGGATTGGTGCACTTTTTGACTAAACCAAAGCGGGACATCAATTTGAAGAGGACCCAGATTCTTAAAGCGTGCATTCAATCACAGATTGCATTTTCAGCGTCGGTTCTCAGACTTGCAGCCCTCCTCGCACGTCAAATCGAACGCATCGCGACAGGTGTTCCCATCGACAGGGATGTCAGCGCCATTTTGTTTGTGGCGGATGTGCAGGGTGCGCAATGGTGTTCTGCACGAGGGGACTGGTATGATCCTGCTGTAGCAAAGTGCTGTTGGAGTGCTCACGAAATCAATTCCGTTCAGAGCCCTCATGGCCTCAGTGTGGTGCCCTAAGACCCAAAGACATCTCTTCTTAAAACGCGGCTGCGTTGCTGTCACCGTTGTGTGCCAGTGAGTCGTGCGGTCCTGCCAGTTGGCAACATCGCCATAGTTGTTGTTGACAGTCTTTCCTTCCAGCATCTTTACTACACCTACGTGTGTAAGATCATGCAAGTCAGGATCGCTGGTTGTATCTCCATCAAGTTTCCGGGCGCATCATGCGCAAGCCTTGCAGAAAGCTTGGGACTGGAGGGAGTGAGCTGGGACGGGCCCAGTCCGACAAGGACGGCCAGGAGAAGCCGAACGGCGAGGAGCAGGGCGGCCCGGCGGAGGGCGCAGACTCGGTGCCGGCAGCCCCAGAGCAGCTCTGCACGGTGCCTCAGCTTCGGAACTGCTGCTTCAAACTTCGGAACGGAAGAGAATGCTTCGGGGCTGTGCTGCGTGCATCCTTCAAAAAAAGGAATGCTTCGGGGCCAGAGGTCACCTGAAGCCTCGGGCAGAGGCGGTTTTGCCAGGTGCTGGTCGAGCTGGAGGCGTTGCAGGAGCGCATTGCAGAGTTCATCCGGAGCGTGTTGATCTGCCTCTCCACCATCGAGTCCGAGGACAGACTGCCTGAAAGCATGTGGGCATCGGGAAGCAGCGGAGTCATCAGAATCACGTGAGTCACGTGAGCCCCGAGCCGAGCCGGACCCGGTCGTACACTCCTGCACTCTGTGTTGGTGATTTTTCCCTTCCACTCCAAAGACCATCAAGTTTAGCAGGACTTCTTGCGTGGAAACATGCCTGTCGAATCGCTGAAGAAAAGGAGCTCGTGTTTTGGGGCACTTGGCCGAAGGTTTCAAAGCCGTTTTGCGGGCTTACACCTCGCCACCCCAGAGTTGCGGACCCAGAGTTTTAAAGCCACTCTGCACGCTGCTGCCACGCCGCGTGCTGCGACGCCGCGTGCTATTGGCACTGTTGGTGAACTCTCAGCTTGGGACTTTCAATGTGTCGCGGAACGTGGTAGTGTGAACCTCAAAATGACAGTCTTCTCACAGCCCATTGTGCGATGAGCACTTGCTAAAGAGCTCATGGTCGCAAAGTGATGTCTTCGTTTTTGGTGTGAGTGCGTCCTGGGAGCAGCGCTGCCAAGTTGCATGCATCTAGCTGCGTGGGTGGGAAGGTAGGTATTCAGGTGTGTCCGCAAATCTGTCCTTTTTGTCCATCTATCTAGAATCCACTGGTTTGTTGATATCGCCGTCTTTGCGTAATTACACGGTATACTATTTACTTACATAAACGTAATTGCACCCTCCCGGACCTTGACGGGATTTCTGTACAAAGCCATGCAAATGAGATCGTGCGAAACCATCCCTGAATCTTCAGACGTGGGGCAGGCGAGTTTCACGGTTGATTCTGATGCACTGGTCGGTGAGATTGTGCACATACAACTCGGGAATGAAGAGAAGCAGGAAGTAAGCCCAAAACCAGCGAGAACCTGAGCCGACAGGATCCAAAGAGCGAGGGCATGTAGGTAACCTACCTACCTACACACACACAGACAGAGTTACAAGTTGATACCAACCGCATTGTTTGGGGAAGATCTTGAAGAAGACGAGGAAATTACCTAAGTGCTATAACCTGACAGGACTAACACTCTCAAGCGACGCAGCTTCACGAAACGGCCAGGTTCTCGGCTTAGCCTGATGCCATACGATGGAAAAAGCAGATACACAAGGATGCGGTTACCCAGAGCCGAATGCCTCTGAAACTGTGAGAAGTCAGCAAGTCCTCACCAGGACCCTTAGCTTAGAATCAGGGTGAACACACACACACACACACACCCCTCATGAGGGGGGCGCACTCATTGACTAACCTGAACTCCGCTTCTGGCCAGTCCTTAGTGTTGTCGTCGTCGAAGAGAAAATGGAGAGCAGGCGAGGGAAGAAGACGATAGGTCGGCTGACAGACGGCCAGAAGGAGGGACGAGGGGAGGAGAGAGCGAGAAGAGAAGACAATAGCTCGGCAGACAGACGAAGAAGACGCCAATACTTAGTGAGGTCGTCGTGGTCCTTGTCGTCGTCGGAGAGACAATGAGAGAAAACAACACAAGAAGACGATAGCTCGGCTGACAGACGACCAGAAGGAGGCAAGAGGGGGGGGAGAGAGCGAGAAGAGAAGACAATACAAACTAAGCAGACGCCAATCCTTAGTGTGGTCGTCGTGGTCTTTGTCGTCGTTGGAGAGAAAGTGAGAGAAAATAAGAAAACAAGACGATAGCTCGGCTGACAGACGACCAGAAGGAGAGAAGAGGGGAGAAAGAGCAAGAAAAGATGACGATAACACGACTGACAGACTGAGAAGACACCGGTCCTTAGTCCCCTCAACGCAGCACGAAGCCGAGATGCTGCCACAAACCATGAGCTGACACTGATCAGCGCTCGAACATGCTCCTTCGCGAGCCCTATACGACTACACGAGTCACCAAAGGACCTTTTGGTCACGAAAGCCCATCACCTGACAAAATCGGGGCACCATTGTTCAGTAGGAGCAAGTGAGGCCTATCACCTAGCAAGATTGGCCACCATCAAGTGCGGTACGCTCCATTAGTCTGTCCCGAAGGAGTGCGATTTGTTATGGAACAATACTGTAATGGGCCGCCTGGCAGTTCGCATGAGCGAGTGTTGCCGGTGGCGACAAGGCCGCACACGGAGTTACAAGTGGATACCAACCGCATTGTTTGGGGAAGATCTTGAAGAAGGCGAGGAAATTACCTAACCTGACAGGACTCACACTCTCAAGCGAAGCAGCTTCACGAAACGGCCAGGTTCTCGGCTTAGCCTGATGCCATACGATGGAAAAAGCAGGCACACAAGGATGCGGTTACCCAGAGCCGAATGCCTCTGAAACTGTGAAAAGTCAGCAAGTCCTCACCAGGACCCTTAGCTTAGAATCAGGGTGAACACACACACACACATGCATGTGTACATCTGGACATACGTACACACGTACGTACATACATACATACCTATACATACATACCTACCAACGTACGTACATACATACATGCATACATACAAACACACGAGACGCATACTTACATGTGTACATATGTGCGTATACACACAAAAACTACCATGCCTGCAGGCAGGCCCACCTCCAGCATGCATACCCGACAGGACAAGGCTTCTTCAGAGTCGCCAGCCGAAGGCTCGCTTCCGGCACCACGCAGCGAAAGCCACCTGCGGGGAGTCAGCAGCTGGGTCAACCTGCTTGGTCTTGGGATGAAGATATATGAAGATCGTTATCGGGGTTTCTGAACTTATGTTGGAGGTTTTGCTATGGAGCTATGACGAGGGGGGCAGGACATAAAGTTCCGTAGCCCGGTGTCCGTGAAACTTCGCCGCACTTTACATGAAGCCTGCTGCGTTGGAGTATGGCTTCGATGAGTTTGGGTTGACGGCCACGGGAACTGCAAGTTTTGGACAAGCCGACAAGCCACAGTATTTCGCCTTGAGGTTTCTTGTGCAATAATGTATGCATCGGGGCAGATAACTTTAGCGTCGATTTGTTTGTCGTCGAAGATTCTCTGCACTTCGGGTATAGAGCAGCTTTGAAGAGCAAAAGGCGAAGATTACTTAAGTCACTTATGTCAGAGGTCCGGGATCTGCATGTTCGACGGGTCCGTCGAGGTCGCGCAACACATGAAACTGCCACTTCTGTTGACAGGTGTCTGAATCCAATTGCAGAACAAGCACACGCAGGGGAAACAAACTTTGGATATTTGTAGCTGACATGAGCATGGCGCAGCATGGAAGGTTCATAGCCAATGACCCTTGCGATTCCGGGATAGAGCTCCTCTAAGCTGTATTTGAATCATTTCATCCACACCTGACTCGTGAGACCGTCCAGCTTGCATTCGCTCTGCTCCGGGAGTTCTGAGCGCACCCGATGCCGTTGTCCAGCATGCGCCGAGGCAGAAACAAGGACACCTCGGCAAACAGTTCGAGCCCAGTGCCGGAGGATTCGGTGCTCAGCTACGAAGATGAGGACCATGAAAGGTGACCAGTCACCAATCGCCTTTGTCAAGTTTGTATTTTCTGGTTTAGGGGGGTTGCGCTTATCAAGCCAGTGCCTTCTGCAGGACAAGGAAGCACTCGACCTGGCGAACATGCGACGCTGGCTCATTCAGTGTCTCGCCCCAGGGTTGGAGCTCATCTCTGTTTAAGTCTTCTGAGCAGCTCAGTAAGCTGTGACAGAGGCGCATAATTCCCGCGCAAGGAACAAGACGGGCTGGCACCGTGTAATGGTGAACCTGAACGAGTTTCATGAGGATCTCAGCAAGCGGCTGAGCCTTGGGCAGCACGGGAAGGTGGCAGGTAGTGCGGACACCGTGCAGAGAGAGGGTTTTGGATATGCAATGGTGCACGCTGAGATTCAGCATGACTCTGCATCACCAATCCTCGCCTGTCCTGCAAGAGGAAGGCTGTGAACGACAGCCTTCGCCCACTCGGGGCATTACCGCCCCTCAAGCTCAGTGACTCGGCTCGCTTATAAATGCCTGTGAGGAATTCGCCTTCTCGGCAAGTGTTCCAAGGTGATCCTGTTCTTGCAAGCACCCTTTGCCGGAACCTGCAGCTTGACTTCCCTGGCTTTTTGTGCAGACACCGTGGGGCACAATGTGACACGGTGACGTTGTGGTGCGGCGTGCGTCTCAACTCGAGGATGGACTCCTTCCGAGAAGGCCCGATGGCGAAAAAGATCACGCAGACTTGCGAGGACCTCTCATTGCATGCTTTCCATTGCTTTCCAGTTACTTGGGATCCATGTTGGGCCCTTTCATCTCTTCGTCAGGGCCCTGGCAGGGAAGTCGAAAATCTTCGACGTGAGTGACCAATAGGGCCACAAGACTCTGGAGCCTGCTCCACGAAGGGGTGTCCATCCAGTCCCACTGCTTCAGGATCTTGCGGCGCTCCAGAAGCTTCAGTCGGAAGGAGGCGAGGATGCCTGAAACGTTTGTAGTAGGAGTAGTAGCGGTAATGCGGTAATGGTGTAGCAGTCGCAGGTAGCAGTGGCAGGAGCAGTAAAAGTGGGAGCAGAAGTAGTAGTAGTAGCAGTAGCAGTAGTAGTAGTAGTAGTAGTAGTAGTAGTAGTAGTAGCAGTAGCAGTAGTAGTAGCAGTAGCAGTAGTAGCAGTAGTAGCAGTAGTGGCAGTAGTAATACTAGTATTGGTAGTGGTAGTAGTAGTAGTAGTAGTAGTAGCAGTAGTAGTAGTAGTAGTAGTAGTAGTAGGAGTAGTAGTAGTGGTAGTAGTAGTAGTAGTAGTAGTCGTAGAGTAGTTGTCGTAGTGGTAGTGGTAGTGGTAGTGGTAGTGGTAGTGGTAGTGGTAGTGGTAGTGGTAGTGGTAGTGGTAGTGGTAGTGGTAGTGGTAGTGGTAGTGGTAGTGGTAGTGGTAGTGGTAGTGGTAGTGGTAGTAGTAGTAGTGGTAGTAGTAGTAGTAGTAGTAGTAGTAGTAGTAGTAGTAGTAGTAGTAGTAGTAGTAGTAGTAGTAGTAGTAGTAGTAGTAGTAGTAGTAGTAGTAGTAGTAGTAGTAGTAGTCGTAGAGTAGTCGTCGTAGTTGTAGTGGTAGTGGTAGTGGTAGTGGTAGTGGTATTGGTAGTGGTAGTGGTAGTAGTAGTAGTAGTAGTAATAATAATAGTAGTAATAATGTTAAACGCTTCGCGTCATCTGTCTCGGCCCGGCTGTGCTTCAAGCTGGAGCTGGTTGATTAACGCGAAAGTTGCCTTGCCGAAGAAGTTTCGCGAGGCGAGATCCTTCAGGCGCATAAAAATGTGGTTGTCTAGCAGGGGGAGGAGGGGGGCGGCCGGGGGGTGAAACACTGAATGTTACACATCCAGGTCTCTGTCTGTTTCAAGTATCACTCGCATGTATCCATGCCTTTGCTCAAGGTTCTAGCAGAGTACGCTCTACCTGTCGGCAGTGCTGATCAGGCGCTGACCTTGTGGGGCAGGTTCCCCTCACGGGCTTTTTCCCCGAGGTGTTTAAGTCGGCAACCGTGTCCCCAGAGCTGGTGCATCGCCGTGCAGCCGAGTCGCGCCGGCAAGTGCTTGGGTCCATCAGGTCGCAGGGTGAACTTGACAGGGAAGTCCGACGGAAGACGGACGAGGAGAAGCAAGCGGGGCTGGAGGGCCTCGTAGACCCGGGCGAGTTGGAACCCGAAGCTTTGGTTGGTAGGAGGTTCGGTTTGTTGCAAGGTACTGGAGAATCCAGCAATGCGCGCTTGATGGATGATCTTTCCGGCAGCTCGGTCAACGCTGCCGTATCAGCATACTTCTGATGTGCTAGCCTGCCTGCTACTGCAATGCCTAGAGTCCTTCCCGCTCGATAACATATTATAGGGTCGCAGCTATGATCTTAAGTCCGCGTACAGACAGTTGGGAATAAGCGAACCTGCACTGCGGGATGCGTACGTAGCTTTCCACGATGAGACGTCGGCGCAACCTTCAGTGCGTCGCTTGAAAGGTTTGCCCTTCGGGGCCGTGAGGAGCGTTCATTCGTTCTTGCGTACGGTGCATTCCGTCTGGACTCCATGGGCTGCACACTCGGCTTCATGTGGACTTGTTACTTCGGCGACTTCCCGACCTTGGCTAGGCAAGACGACGCTGCAGACACGGAGGAATACATACCTAGATTCCTCCGGCTACTAGGCTGGAAGTTTGCTGAGGAAGGCAAGAAAGCTCAGTGCTTTGGTGATCGCTTCGGTTCTCTCGGGGTGACAGTGGACGTGTCCCACTTCTGCAGCGGTCGTGTGCTAGTCTGCAACACAGAGAGTCGCGTGCAAGAGATGCTTGATGCCATAGTCGAGGCAACATCCACCAAGACTTTGTCGACCAAGGAGGCTCAACAACTTAGAGGTCGATTACAGATTGCTGACGGCCAGGTATTCGGAAGGGCTAGCAAGCTTTGTTGGCGTGAGGCCGGTTTTCACATAGCTGACGGGAACAACGCGAAGCAGGATGCATTGACTGCGTTGTCGCGATGGACGCCCTCGCATCTTGGCAAGGCCAGCGTCCACACCTGTCTATATCTTCACGGATGCGGCCTATGAGCCGGACGCACGGGGGCCGAAGTTTGGCATAGGTGGCATCTTATATGATGCGAACGGATGTGTGCTCGCATTCTTTTCTTACGTGCTTAGTGCTTCTGAGGCAGCCAAGTTGGGTTGCAACGAGAAAAAGACCATCATATTTGAGATACATCGCTGTTGTAGTTTATTGAAACCTATTATCCAGCGTCACGCTCTTGTCGCATACGTAAACAACAACAGCGCTCGTGATGTGTGCATCTCGGGCAGAGCCCGAAACGACACGGGCCCTGCGTTGGTCACCTTGCTTCTGGTGCTGACTTCAATGCATCCGTTGCAGAAGCGTAGGCTGTAGGCTGTGGGCCACCGCCCGTGCGTGGAGGTGCTTCCTCCATTGCTTACAATGCCAGGTACCTCCTGGCAGTACAGGTCGATGCAATCCCAACGTCACCAGTGAAAATGAAGTCTTCGTGAGGGAGTGCAGAAGAATTTATTTATACCAGGCATGTTGGGGAGGGCCTTTTCACCATCCGAGGATGGGGGAGCCTCCGCGTCCAAGTGCTGGAGATGGAGAGGCTTCTTCCCATGCCAGCGGAGCCCTCAGCACCCCGCATCCTCCATATGGCCTTTGTGGTGCTGGCCTTCTCTGCGGCGGGGGTTCTCACGAGGGACCTCAACAAGCACAACTGGGGAGTGCGAGCCCTTTCCCCGGACAGTTGCATCGAAGAGCTGGTGAAACCGGTCGGGTTTCCTCCCCGCCGCCGTGTGGAGTCATGGTGGAACTGGATTGAAAAGGTGGATCCGGAAACCACCTATTGGCTCCGATGTTTGGTGGAAGCTTACCACCAGGACCATGTGCTTCTGGCCTGGGGACTGGTGGAGAAGCTCCAATCCACGGACGCTGGCCAATGGGTGGTGGCTTCACTCTACCAGCAAAGGGTGCTGGCTATCTCACCAAACGGTGAGACCTGCATCTGCGCCTCCAAGGCTTCGGCGCTTTCAAGCAGGGACTGGGAACTCCTTTGCCTGCAGAGCCCGCCAGTCCTTGGGGGCCAATAGGGAGGGAAACTCCCTGGGCAACGAAAGGCTTCCTAACCTCACCGGCAACGGGAGGAAAGGGCCTACAGGTAGGAAGGCTGAGAAGCTTCAACCTCTCCGGCAATGGCCGGGAGGAAGGGCCTAGAGCGTAGGTCTGAAGAGCTTTCCTCCGCAAACCTCACCAGCAAGGACTGGGAGGTCGGGGGTCCTAGAACTAGGACCAAACCTGTAGAGCTCCTGACAACAAGGAAGCCAGGTTGCCCCCCTTTGGCTGTCAGAGTACAGCCCCTACCGACTTGCCGTTTCGGCGGCCGCGACTCAGAGCGCTCGAGGAAGAAGAATTTATTTATACGTTACATATGCACAGGTGTGCTTCAATATATTCAGAAAACTTTTTGTTTTACCGCTGCCTTCTTGGTTCAATCGGAGTAAATTAAGTCGATGGTGCTGGCCGGTGCCACTGCCAGATGCCCCAGCTGCGTCGGGGTTGTCCGAATCGAGATCATCAGAGGCCTCCGTTCGGAGAAGCCCGCCAAGATGCTGTTCCTCCTCTCTGGACATTCGGGTCCGACCTGTGGCATTCATGTTGGCAACCACCTCCGCAGCCGCTGCTGTAGTAGCAGCTCTGGCTGCTTATCGAGCCAAGTCAACCTCCTCAATGCCCATGGGTGGCGAGTCTGTAGAAGCTGAGTCCCGGGTCTGAGGAACTTGATGGCTGACATCGACCTCCACCGTCTCATCCTCTGGGCTGGTCGCTGCAGACATGCTAGACCAGTGTGGTCTACTCGTTGTGGAGGCACGTCTGCGTCTTTGTCTTTTACGCTGTCGAATCCCGCTCTGAGCCGGCCAATCATGCCCGCAAATGAACGGAAGAATGCTCAGTACCATCCGCACAAGCTGGTCAATTGTGTAATGCCATGTAAGCCAAAACAGCAGGGGGCACGAAGTACACGAGCGGTGTCGTGCAGTGAGTCCCAACAGCCTTCACCAGAGAACAATGCATTTGTTGGCGCACACCTGTCGGCGGGATCCGCGTCGTCGAGGCCTGGCCGGGGACCTGAGCCGCCTAAGTCGGGTGTTTCTGCCTGCACATGTTCGACTCGGAAGGGCTTGTGTGTGGGGGTCGTCATTGCCTGTTTCAATCCAGAGCTTGGAGATCCAGGGGCTGGCTGACATTGAGCCATCGAGCCGCTGCCATTCTTCGGGCAAGGGCGTCCGCAGGGCCAGAAATGTTCCAGCCAAGCGTCTAGGCCAATACCAGGTGGCAGTCCCGTTTGGAGGCTCGAAATTCACAAAGGTTTCTACCAGGGTGCTGGTGCTTGCAGTCGATATCGTATCTGTGCGAGTTGTCCGCGTTGGAGATATATCCTCCAGCACACTGCAAAATGAGTTGCCTTAGGAATACATGGAAATGGTTCCGTTGATGTGGCCTGGAAAACAGCTCTCGCGCGTACCGTGCATCGGGGCCCAGAGGAATTTGTTGTGGTTTGCAATCCATAATGATGCACCCCTTGCAGTTTCCAGCCAATCAGACATGTTATGAGCCAGTCGGAAATTCTTGTCAAGATCATGAGCACAACTGAAGCCCAAGACACTACGTGGCAGGGTTCCCGCGTCTGCCAGCCGAGATGCTTGTACGAGTAGGAGTAGGAGTGGGAGTAGGACTGGGAGTGGGAGTGGAGCAGGAGCAGGAGCAGGAGCTGCAGCAGCAGCGGTAGTAGCAGCAGTAGCAGTTGCAGGAGTAGGCGTAGCAGCAGGATTCGGAGTCGCCGTCGTCGTAACAGTGGTGGCAGGAGCAGGGTTTGCGGTTGCAGTCGTGTTCCTGGTGGTGGTGGTGGTGGTGGTGGTGGTGGTGGGGGTGGGGGTGGTGGTGGTGGTGGTGGTGGTAGCAGTGCAGTGGCAGCGGCAGAGTTAGAGGTAGTGGCAGCGGCAGTGGTCGTGGCAGTGTGGTGGTAGTGCTAGCAATGGTAGTGGTAATCCGATGGTCGCGGTGGTAGTTGTAGGATGTTGTAGGGGGGGTGGTGGTGGTGGTGGTGGTGGTGGTGGCGGCGGGAGGCAATATATGGCAATACTGGTAGTGCAGCGGCCGTGATATCGCTGGGGTCTGGTCTGAAGGGTCCTCTTCCCTTGCTTCGAAGGAGAGGACAAAAGCAAGGACGCCGGCTTCCAGGTGGCTTGACATGAGTCGCCTGATGAATGGCTTGTTCATTCTGAGGACAGGTGCAGCGCACGACAGATGTTTTGGCCTGCGCAGGTGCCCTTGCCAGCTGTGCTATCCTCCTTCGTGACGACGGCCGCTTGACTCTCATGCGTACTTGGTCAGTTGGAATTTAGGTCTTTTGTTGGCCGAGCGGTGTGTATGAAGTCGAGAAGATTCAAGAGAAAAAAATTGTTTGGATGGTCGTGGTTACTGATCCCGAAACCAGGCGAAGGAGACCTACAAGCGCTTCTGGCCGCCTGAGGACAGCAGCCCACGAAGCAGCTTTATGTGTTTCTGGCCTTTGCCGCTCTGCGGTAGGCACACGACATGCTTCCGGCGAAGATTCCCGAGCCAGAGGGCGTCCAAAGCGCAACTTTAGCGGTGCAGAGGCAGGTCGGGTTTGTGGCAGCTGTTGTCACGATCGGCTGAGTCCTAATGCTTTACGCACGGTGAAGCACTGAATCTAAGCACACTTGCAGAAATGAGCTTGAGCTTGTGCGTTCGAGAAGATGTGCCACTACCGATCGCAAGCAAGAGTAATTCTTGCCTTGCAAACAGGTCTCCCTCTCTGGCAATCACTATCTATCTATCTATCTATCCATCTATCTATCTATCTATCTACATACACATAAGTGTATGTATGTATGTATGTCTGTAAGTATGTATGTATGAAGTAGGTAAGTATGTATGTATATAGTTATATAGGTAAGTAAGTATGTATGTATGCATGCATGCATGTATGTATATAGATACATATACACACATGCACATACACACACATATGCATGTAGGTATGTATACATATGGTTGTTCAGTTTATTTATATTTTTACGTTCACATACATATACATATATTTCAGCTACGCCCCCTCCGACGTGCCTACACTTTCTTGGCATTCATAAAGCACTTTCTTGTCCAACCCGAAGTTAAGTCCAAGAAGACATGGGAATTAGTGACCATATGAGTGATCAATTGTGTCCCTGTGCCGTTGCACATGGAAGCCGGAAACCATGTAAATATCGGCAAGTTTCGTGTGCATTGTTTACCATCTCGACACCTTTTCCGTCAAGTTTTTTGTCTACAAGCATCGTGACATTTATATTACGTCTTTCTGCGGTGTATGGCTTTGCCTTGTTGCCATGCAGAATCAAAAGACTCTGTGGGGTTCTTGGCTCAGCCCCATGCCACTACAGAAAAATCACAGGTACGTTTGCACGAGAAGAGAAAGGTGGATGGGTGCGCGGTCTTCATTGGCCAGAGCACGCACTAATCTTACCTGCTTCTCCGCTGGCCCCCTGCTTTGTTTCTGTTGTACATCCCTTGGTAACAGACACGCACACACGCACACACGCACACACGCACACACGCACACACGCACACACACACGCACACGCACACACACGCACACTCACGGATTCCTGTCCCCTGTGTAAAGCCAATGGAAGAAGTGACTCCCTGTGCCCATGAACGAGGACAGTACACACACACACAATAAAATCGCTGAGGGCACTTATGCCAGGTCTCGGGCCAAAACTGGGCACCAAGACGAGGACTTGAGACATAAGGCGCCAGAAGCATTGAGAGTGAGCTTACTACAGGAGCGATCTATTCCGTTGCGGCGATCCCGCTCGGTCGAGGCAGGTGTCGCCTATCCGGTCAGTCTTTGCTTCCCAGCGTCCTGTTCCCTGGCAGGCCAGGCAGAAGACGCCAGGCGGCCGTATGAAGCGTCAGGAGCTGGGCTAGTGCAGACGAGCAGTGTTGAGAGACAAGGGGCAGGAAGTTTGTCTGCCGGGAGCTGAAGCCTTCAATGTCGAAGAGATGTGAACGAAGAGTTAGAAAGATGATCAAGCCGCGGAAAGGACAGCGAGACGGGACCCTCCGCCTTGCCGAATCATCTGAGCCTAGGCCCAGGTATTAGCTTTAACTTATTTAGGGTTTAACCATGGCTGCGGCGACTTGTGCCCCGCGATCTGCGTTATGCAAAGGCTTGTGGCACGCCCAGGAATCAGGTCACTGCAGCCTTCACTGCCGCTGTGGAGACCCGAAGCAGCCAAGTCTGGGCCTCTGCGTACTGGTGCCAGAAAGCACTGCAGATTTCATCTTTGCATGCAGGTCAATGTCGCAGGTCCAGGATTTATGCTTGCCGGTGAGAGGCATTAGTATATAGCTGGCAGAGACTGGCTTTTTCTCTACACTGGCACCGCAAAGGTCATTATTTAGCATCGACTGCAGAGACATGGCATGTAGCCCTTCGCCCACGACTCGCGAACCCAGGGAAGGAAAGGAAGGTATCCGTGAAGACTAGTCTTGTTGAGTTTGTCATGAACCTCCATTTAACCGCCCACTCGAAGCCTGCACTATCGGTCTATCGACATGGAGCTTCTTGGGTGTTTGCCCACCGTGGACAGTCCAGCATCTCGAGCTCGTCCTCTCGGTCGAAGCCCTGCGAGTGGTTTTCAAGCAAGGTTGCGAGGCTTCGTCAGCGAGAGATCACGCTTGGTGCTCCCAGGTTACGACCCTGCAGCGCTGTGTTCATGGCATCTCCTTGCTGCTTGGAACGACACTGCGGGCTGCCGCAGCCTACTGGGTTCGGAGTGGCCGTTGCGGATTCGGTCTCTGGTGAGCTGGACTTGTGAAGCTGCGCTGTGCAGCTCGCGGTGGCTGCTTGCTCCGTGCTTGAGATCAGAGGTCGGTAAGCTTTGAGGACGTCGGCTCGCTCATCGCGTACGCGCTCCTGAGTGAGAAGGCTGTTAGGGGCTTGCCGATCGACGTGTGAAGAGTGCCCTAAACAGGAGGGGAGCAAAGGATCTGGTTTGCAGTCGGCATCTTCTTTCCATATCTTTGCAAAGGCGGCGGAGCAGATGTCTTCCCAGTGGACTGCACTGTGGGGCAAGTCCCATTGCCCCCTGGCCGACGCTGGCACGGCCGCTTAGCGGCGGTTCTCTCAAAACGCACAGAAACTGCTCCGCCTGCTCCTGTGCCCCCCTGGGTGCCTCGGTGCCTCGCCTGATGCCTCGCCTGAGGACTGCTGTTTTCGGTCCTTTCCCAGCTGCCTCCCACGGAGACCTCCTCCCCAGAGCAGGCGGGCGGGGGGCGCCCTTTCGGCGAGTAGGACACGTGCGGATGGTGGCACAGCTGGTGCTTCGAGGCCCTCGCCTGTCTCGGGCCGCACAAGTGCTCCAGAGGACCGCTGCTGTTGTGTCTGAGTTCGACCCTTTGTGAAATGATCTTCGCAATATTTCGCAATAAAAACTTTGGCATTGACGCAGTGCGCCGTGGGCTGTGTCACGCCATCTTGTCGTTCCACAGGCTCGCCCGACTCTTTCGGATTCGGCCATGGGGGTGCTCAAGGACAAGAGATGGAAGAGGCCTCAGGACGGCTTGGCAACACCTCCAATAACTGGTATGAGATGTGAGTGGACCGACCTCGACCTTCAGTCATCAGCAGTTCAAGGGGCCCGGCGCCTTGCTAATCCAGCTCGGCTCAAGCTCTCAAGCTCTATAGTCTTGACGGAATCGCGAGCTCTTGGCTTCAGTACAGGACCTGCCCAATGCGATTCGCTATTCTTGGGAGCAGGACATCGTCGGGACCCTTTCTTGTCTATAGTCCTTTGCAGATTCTGCACACGTTTTGTGCACTTCGAAAGGTTTGCCCCGAAAAAGACCACTCGAGCCTGTTCCAGGACATGGACAATGCCGGACTTCGGACCATCCTCAACACTCCAGTGCTCAAAGAGCCTGTGAAGGCAATCTGGACGAATTTCGGGTGCACGTACTTTCGAAATCCCACCACCCTGCACTCCGGGCAGGTAGATTTCGAGGACAAGCAGGCAAAGAAGCTCGGACGGCCATGTGGAAAGTTGGGGATGGACTGCCGCGAGTGAAGCTTTGCTCCGGGAAATGGATAGCTCTTTTGCCAGAGGACGCCTCACGTAAGCCTCGCTTGTTTTCTCTAAGACCTTTGTTTTGTTTGTTTCGGTAGAATCTGCTGCCACCTCAGTGGCATCTTGGAGCTAGGAGTCTTTGGAGTCTGTGTACCTTTATCTTGTCCATACCATGGCCGCAAATCGGAACCTTGGCGAAGGTACCACGTGGCCATCCATTTTGCCCCCCACTACCATGCACTGCGCCATTGGATCTGTGGCGACGATCTGAATTTCGTCCGATCCTTGCAGCATTGCCACTTGGCCCGTTGTGGTGTTGAGCTCCCACGAGTATGCAGCCTCCCGGTGCTTCTGCGAAGGAGCAGCGTCAGCAGTTTCATGAGAGTAGCGATGTGGCGGAGCCTGCCATTTCAGACATGACCCGAGCTTGATTGGTACTCTCAAAGAGCGGCATGATGGAAAGGTAATCCGATTCAGACATCTGGCGGAAAGTCTCGTGCCACTTTTCTCATGTCCCACGACAAGCGGTTCCTCCTCAAAGCCATCAACGAGTCTGAGTTCAAGAAGCTGAACAGCAGCTCGTCCTGATTTCCGACAGCTCTGGGACGCAGAACTTGAGGGTTTAATTAGGGTGTTAAGGCGACAAGGGTACGATGGCTTTTTTGGGGTTTAGGCCTGTTAAGGGCATCAGGGTTTGGTTTGAGGGTTTTGGGTAGACTGATAGTTGCTAAGCGCTAATCGGTCTTGGTCCCGGGGGCGCATGGAAGGCGAGGCCGAAAACCTCTTCTGGTACTTCGACAAGGCTCGGGACTTGGGGGGAGGGGACCCTCTTGTTTTTTTGGGTCTCCAGTTGTTCCCCATACGGGATTTGGGTCATGTAGCGAGTTTTTGTCTGCTTTGTCACCTTCGGACTTGTCGAGGGCTGATGACGAGCCAACGTGATCTTCCCCTTCACAGGTGCTTTTCGACAAGTGGCCCTCGGTGCTGACGCAGGTTATCGGGCTCTTCTCTGTCTCGGCAACCAAAAAATCGCAAAATTACAAGGGCTCCTTGGTCTCCAAGGAAAGCTTTATCGGGCCAATCCTGGTCCATTCCTGTGGTGGGGCCCTGCTCGCTGGATAGAGTGTAGGACCGTGGCTCCCGGATGGGAAACAGCATGACTAGAGTCACGAATCACAGCAGAGGGTTGGCTTGAATCTGCCCATGGTGGTTTCTTCCTGCTCTCGATCTTCTAGTTCGTCTCATCCTTTGTTCTCCCGTTTTTCCGTCTCAAAGCCTTCAGCTCCTTTCACATGGAGCGACAATGTTCTTTCCTGTGACTCGAGTTTCTTCTTCGACTTGTAGCGGCTCTGAAGTTTTCTTGCATTGGATTGATTTGCCTGCCTTGCAAATTCCTCGGATGTATTAATGTCAAGTTGCCCTGGCTTTCGGCACAACCTGCAACGTTTTTGCCTCTGATGTCCCCCCCCCCCCCCCCCCCCCCCCCCCCCCCCCCCCCCCCCCCCCCCCCCCCCCCCCCCCCCCCCCCCCCCCCCCCCCCCCCCCCCCCCCCCCACTCCCCCCCCCCCCCCCCCCCCCCCCCCCCCCCCCCCCCCCCCCCCCCCCCCCCCCCCCCCCCCCCCCCCCCCCCCCCCCCCCCCCCCCCCCCCCCCCCCCCCCACCCCCCACCACCCCCCCCCCCCCCCCCCCCCCCCCCCCCCCCCCCCCCCCCCCCCCCCCCCCCCCCCCCCCCCCCCCCCCCCCCCCCCCCCACCCCCCCCCCACCCCCCCCCCCCCCCCCCCCCCCCCCCCCCCCCCCCCCCCCACCCCCCCCCCCACCTTTTCTCCAGCCACCCACCAGCCACCCCCCCCAGCCACCCACCCAGCCACCCCCACCCAGCCCAGCCACCCACCCACCCCCCACCCACCGACCCACCCACCCTCACCCACCCACCCACCCTCACCCACCCACCCACCCACCCACCCACGCCCGCGCACTTTTCGGATTCTTTGGGTCTGCGCCCCTGATTTGGCAATCAAGTGGGTTGGTTTGTGCAGCTGGGTTTCTCGGATTCTCTTTTGCGACCCAGGCTATTATGTGGTGCAGCAGAACCTTCGATATAGCATCTTGGACGCAAGGACGCGCCACACTGCTAGTCTTGAAAATGGTCCATGAGACAGTACATCTAAGAGGCATAGGACCTGACTCAAATTCAACCCCCCGGAGCAAAGGCCTTCGTGGCACCTGGGCCTTCATCTTCGATCTCAAGGGCACTGGAAAGAATCGCCGTGTCCAAGCCACGGCGGGGGATGTGTTGTGTGTTAGCCTGGGGTCATAAGTGTTCCGGGTTTTACAATGTTTTGTGCACGCTTCTGGTGCTCGGGCGATTTGCGAAGCGCTTATAGCACATCAGCGCGTAACATCACGGTCTGGCTCCATACTCGTGGCACTTACGCGTGTGCCGTCGTACTAAAGGCAAGTTGTCGACCTCTTACGGGGGTTCAGGCCAATGTTGAGCCGGTCGGTTAAGATCGACCGAGCCCCGGCAGTGCGTCTGTGGTCGCGGGAGCTTGCAAACACAACCGCGAGACCCACAAGTTTGACGGCGGGATGGAGCGAGGGGCGATCCGTTCCTGACACCCTCATCGAGACAGCCCAACGATGCCAGTCGGGGGCTACCCAAACCTTGGCCAACAGCCTTGTGATCTGCACATAACTTAAGCAACCTGGGGAGGCTGGAATCTTAACCAGTCCTCAATTACCACCTCCACTGCAACCGAAAACACAGACAGACTCTGATGTCTGGTAAACGAGTTTACATTCAACGGCTCAACTGGCTAAAGGCATGCGCAACTGTTCGAGTGCCATTCTGTGACTGGAGAGATCCGCAGACGCGCTCCTCTGGTCGACATTGGACCCCTTCTGAACAGTCGTGGCCCTGCACTGTCGAGCCAGCATAGCAGCTTCAAGGCCTCACTGGCTCCGCATGCTCCGCATTGCGGACTTGGTAGCTCGGGCGTTTGGGAAGGGGAGCCAGAAGCGTTCCACACTCTGGTTGAGGTCCAGTTTCTGTTTCTGGGTGCCGGGCTTTTCTCCCACAAGCGTTTTTTCCTTGCATTCAGCTTTGCGGCTTGATTGAAATGACTCTTGCTTCTCTAAGATTCCAAGAACCTTTGCAGGATCTCGGGGAGGAGCCGGAAGCCCAGGAGTCTCCAAGCGGCAGCAGGGCCACGCGGCTGCTCTATGACCGAGGTTGTGGAGACCTATGAGAATTAGGGTGCTTTGATGTTGCTTACGACACGTGTTTTGATACTTGCGACAGTGTCAAGACTGCAGTGATTGCAAGGAAGCCGTCAATGGTGAGAACAATACGCAACAGTGTACTACTGAAGGCATTAGTCTTCGAGCGAGTTCAGTCAAGCAGTGCTGCTGACCTCCGGCTTTTGCCAGCTTGCAACTTTGTATGTTGTGGAGTTAACGTAAACGAACGAAAAGCCAGGACGCCCACCCACCCACTCACCCACCCCAAGGCAGCCCAACAGATGCAACCTGTGTTGCCTGAAGCCGCTTACCTCTTTCAAAGGCCCCTGAGGATGAGAACACGGAGCGCGACAGGGCGGGAAAGGTGTTTTGGGACCAGAGCCTCGGAGTTGTTGGGTGTTCGCCTTGTTCGACCTCGGGCGTCTCAGCAGTGTAGGAGCGGACGGAGCAGAAGCGCCTGAGGAAACGCCGGGTGGAAGAGACTGCAGCTTACTGAGCCAAGGAACTTTCGGGAGTGGACTAAAGGCAAGCCGCTGTGCCTTGTGCCCTCTGCCTCCCCGCCGCACTGTGGGGCTCGATTCGTTGAAAGAGGGCAAGGCCGCTAACGACCCGAAGCCACATTTGAGGAGTATTTCCGCTGGATTTGGTCCAAGTTTCCCTCGATGCGACAATCGGACATACTGGGACTATGCGTCGGACAATGTTCGGAGTATTTCCGGTATCGATTGTTGTCGTCACTGACGTCACGTGTCGTATTCGTCTGCAAAGAGGTTAAATGGGACTACCGCTTAACAAGCTTCCGCTTGGCCCGAACACAATCACGAAGACTCGGCCTAGGGGTGATGGGAACATACAAGTTTCTTGGCACGGTTGAGCTGACCAAGCGAGCATCCTCGTGACGAAGCTAAGACTTCCTGCTGCCTGCCGAGGACCTTACATACCTGGAAGCTGCAATCTTCAACGACACCACGCTTCTCTCGACCCGGGATTTGATGGACTGCTCCCTAAACCCTAAATTTGACGAGGCCTTGGATTCCAGGCAGGGTAGGAGCAGACAGCTGCTGCAGTGCTGTCAAAGCACGGTGGTATGTTCTCATGCCAACTTGACTTCCGGCGCAGCAATGTTCACAACTAAATCTGAGACGAGACCTGGAAAGAACGGAACTTTTTGCATTGACTTCGGTGCCCGCTGCAGCTTCCACAGGACTATTCCCTGCTTCTGGCAGCGGTCCCCCCAGAGCCGGGGGCAACTGCGGGCCGCTTGATCTTGGGCCACTGGTCGTGACAAATCTTTGGTGACTGCTCATGCTCTCAAACTTTTTATCGAAGCTGCTCGCGTTTTTTGCCGGGCAATGCACGGTCTGGCTGCGGGGTGGTATGCTTTGCCAAGTTTGAGGCATGATCGACTATCTCCGTGCCTTCACCATTGACAAGAAGGCCTCTCGGCTGTCTGTGATGCGAACTGCTAAACACTCACACCAACGCAACCCATTTTGTCAGAAGATTTGGAGGTTGAAAGTGCCGTGAAGACTGCACTGGCGCCGACGCCGTCGGAGCAGCCCACAATCATCGCTCCCAAGGATTGGACATGTCCACTGGGAAGAGAGGCACGCAATGTCCGGAGCGCCTTTTTCGAGATCTCTTTGCACAGGACTATGCCGCTCGCTTCATGCGAGCAATGAGCACCTACTTCGTGGCAGACTGCCCAGAGAGATGATGCTCTCGGAGGACCTCGAGGGCCTTTGGCCACCCCAACAACTCTTGTCCGTAGCAGGCTCGGGGTGCCAACCTTGGGGCTGCCGGAGGAGTCCAAGAGAGTGCAGCGCGAGGAAGTTCTCGATGACGATGCCCTTGTTCCAGCTTCCCACGGCCCAGTTTGAGAGCTGAGCTTGCCCGGTTGAAGAGGCGGGGGAATCCCGCCTCCTCCCGGAGGCCTCGTGCTGAGATTTGGATAACCTGGCTACTGTTCCAGGGTGGATCGTTCGTGGTGCGGCCCTCTTGCAGTGCCTATGTGTCTCGGAAGTCGACCTGGTGCAGAGAGTTTCATCGTCTCACCTTCCACATGCTAAAACGGAGACTGTGCCTGGGATTCGGGATGGAGTCCCGACGCCGACCCGCTGTACCTGCGCTCTGACAGATTCCCCCAAATTCAATCAGAGACGACACCTTGCTTTGTCGGCTGGTAGCCTTGACGGTTTGACAACTCACGCAGGCGGGTTTCCACTCAGACAGGTGCATCTTGATCACCTTGTCCGGCATGCAACTGACTGCTTGATTTATTTCAATTTCTTCCCGCTTATAAGTTAGCCTAAACTGTGGTGGAATCGCAGAAACTTCCCTCGCCGACTACGCAGCCATGTGGCCGGCCCCTCCGCTCCGAAGTTCCTGGCCGAGTGCGCTGCAGCCGCTTCAGCCGCCGTTGCAGCAGAGGTGAGGAGCTCAAATAAAGGCCTTTGCCTCATGCATGCCTTCAGAAAACCATGCTACACACGAGGGCGTGCAGCTCGACATCGCCGCACTTCACTCATGCTGCGCCCGTCGCAGTCGCAGTGGCTCTGGCGGCCGGAACGGGAGGGCAAGGTCTGAAACGACGGGAAACAAACAGTGACCGAATTTTCAACGAGCATCTGATCGAGAGCGTAGGCCAAGCCCTTCTGTCGACATCGCGGCGTAGCGCGGGCCACCACTGCGCCAGTGGAGGCACCGAAGCATCCAGCCAAACTTGACCGTATGATTCCTGAGCCTGTGTAGAAGGAGCTTTCGTCCTTTCGACATCTTTCAAACTTCGACCACGTCCACAGCGCTTGATGTCTCCGACATTTTGTCGCAGTGATGCCAGTGAGCCCCAAAACACCAGCAAGCCCCCTTCTAAGACTTGATGGAGCCCGAGCGTTATGCCAGGCAGGCGCCCAGAGCGCACACTGCCGTGAGTCCTCTTCATGCCTCCTGCACAAGGGATCAAGCTATACGAGGGCGGTCCAGCTCCCAACGTGGTGCCGAAGTTAGAATGAACAGGCGCGAGCCGCTGTCGTTCTTCGTGGCGACGTGCTGCCAGAGCTGCATGCGGCCCTCCGCGGGTGGCCCGCCTGAGTCTTCAGTTTCTGACGGTGCTTTAGACCGCTGACAGCACCTCTTGCGGCCGAGGGGGAGTGGGGAGGGGCTGGTGGACTGCAGTGGACTGCAGTGGACTGCAGGTCGGTGGATGTGGCAGCGATCAATCGGCTTCTGCACGTCTGTGGGCAGCGCAAGTGGCTGGAGTCTTGTTGGGTTTCCCAAGAGGGTCCAAGGGCCCAAGGCCAACTCCAACGAAGAACGGCACTGCGATGGCTGGCGCTGTTGTTTTTTCGTTTTTCTATCGGCAGTGTTCGTTTTGAGTTGGATGACTCTGCTCTTTGAGGCATTGCCCCAAGAGCTGCCGAAGAGCATCTGAGGACGAGGTCACCGCGATTCAAGCGGCCATGCAAGACCTCGAGCCCTCCGAGCTTGAGCCACTGGGGACATGACAGTTTATCCAAATGGAAATGGGGTCCGCTGCCGGAATTCGTACACGCGCAGTTAGTTGCGGAAAGGTTCGCCGACCGTTTTTGTTATGACTTCGGTGTTTACGTGTATTGCCCATGTTTGAGGCTCTCACGGGCTGTCCATGCAACCCGGGCGCACCCCGGCAGGGTGCTCGCATGTCGAAAATATGACGCCCGCCACCGTTTCCGTGAAAACTTCCATGCAGAACATATCCGTGATCCTAGAGCATCCCCATTCTCGAAACGTGGTCACGTCCACTCAGACCTTCAATTCCCGAGCCTCACCCAAAACGCCTCGATGTGACCCAGACCTGGGCCCAGGCGGACAGAGTTAGTTTTAGTTCGCAAAACTGTCCCAAAAGCCCGAGAGTGCGGAAGTATTGCGCCTGCCCCTGAAAACGCATGTAGTCTCCTGGTAATGATGTGGCGCACGTGAACACCATGTTGGAGCATTGTTTGAGGATACCGGCCGCGGTGGTCAGCGGATTCTGCAAAGCCGCTGCGAGGCAAAACTGCTGGAGACACGATCTGGTCGGGACTTGCGTCAAACACACTGCCGAAAGCAACTCCAGGGCAACATCATATACCATGGAAAATGCAAGATAACACTGTAGCACTCCTTGCTTTCTGCTATGCCTGTCATGTATCTCGACAGCGTTTTTGTTTCGCTTAAGGCGTTTGCTCGACTCCTGATGCAGAACTCCAGTCGGTTTGGATAAGGCTCAGCCTTTCAAATCTCACGGAAGGCATAGGTGTCGTAGCGCAATGTTGATCTGTTGATCTCCCTGTTGAAGCCAGAAGGTGCAGCTTGTCTGTGTTACAAACTACATGCAGGTGCCTGTCAGGCTTGCGCTTGCAGCGGGACGCCCGTAGAACCAAATGCGCTGAGGCAGACGGGCCGGATGACGAAATCTCCACAAATACAATCATGTTTCGCAACAAGCTGTAGCAGAACCTGATGCTGCTGGTCGCTGTGATTGTAGCAGTCTGAAGCGTGGCGGTCGGGTGCTGGCGCCGGCATGCGCCGGCCAGAGGTCCTGGACCGAGCGCGCTTGCTGTGGCAAGCGTGGACTGAACACTGGCGAGAAGGCTCGGATCATGGTCTGGAGTAACAATCACACCCCGGTCAAAGGCAAAAGCAAGCGGTGGGACCACTACTGCAGGTCCAACTTAAAATGCCCAGCCGTCAGGCTGGATTGGCAAACGATAGTCTAGCCTGATGCCGTTGCTCACCTACCTCACTTTCAGCAGCTTTCGCATTGCAGGAGAAGCCTGTGCCGACTTCGACACTGCCCTGGCTTCGGCCTTGCTCTTGTGTGTGCTTTGGCAGATCAGCGATGAAAGGGTGCTGTACAAGGAAACCTGTCTTGCACATCGCAATCACACGTGTATTTTCCCGGAAATGCATTCTATGCTGCTTGTAAGATAGGGGGGTTTCGCATACAGGTGCGATGGTTGCTTGCAGCCTCAAACGATTTCAGCAGCTTTGGATTCTTGCGGTGTCACTCAGTGATTCTGATTAGTCTACCTGCAGTTTTTGCCCTCGTGGCAAGGATGCCGTACGCAGCCCGACTGCGCTGGTTTGGGCTGAGGAGATCTGGGAGCAGGTTCATCTCGTCCAATCCTGCAGCGTATACATAGCTTGATGTTCATCCGTGGTCTCGGTGATACAGTTGCATGGTCCTCGGCGCAAGCTGGTAGCTCAGCTTGTTGTCCTACGTTGCTTGTAGCAAGTTGTCGCAAACCGCGATGCGGACCCCGATCCTCAGAAATCATGCAAGTATGACAGAGCAAGACGAGCGAGATTCCACATGCCGGCTTCGTGACCAGGCGAAGGCTCAAGCGGCTCCTGGGTCTGGAATCTTCGGTTGAACTTTCAGGAGCTTTGGAACGTGTTGATGCATCTCCATGTCCGGACCACGATGACCTTGTCTATGTCAGATGCCAAACTGGTCCAGTGAGAGCCAAACATCCCAGGTGCCGAGGACGGTCGACTTGTACCTCGCAATGCTGAGCATACTCGAGTGGCATCGTAGACACGATGCAGTGGACGGCATGCTGCTTCAGGCCTGCAGCCCTGAGCATCTAGGATTCCTGCGTGCGGGCATGGACTGTCATTTCTATTCGAAGTCTTTCAGAGCTTCAAAGCAGAGCTTTAGGACATGGTTGAGGACGGGCTGACGCCGAATGAGGAGGTCCCCTTGCTTGAAGCAACGTTTCGGTTGCAGTTTCATGTCTTGGCAGGGGTGCGGCAGTGTCTGCTCGGCCAAACTACATCCGTCCAAAGCAAAGCCTGCGCAGATGTATATGTTTAATACATACATATGTATATACAAGAAGCTGTACTAGCAGCTTTCCCATACCATCCCATCCTTCGCTGCGGTTGACTATGCCATACCACACTATGCACAGCAATGGAAGCTATTCTGGTACAAAGTAACCTAGTGCAGTCTACAATCAATATAGCTGAGTAAACATGTAACGTGCATCATGAAATGTGCTGAAGTGTCATATTCTTAAGTACACTGTCATATGCTGCAACAAGTTTTGCAGATGGTATAGCTCATAATGACATGACATGCCAGCTTATTATATGATACAGCGAGGCAAAAGACAAACGAGTACAAACATGGGTATATCGGAGGACGAATGAAATAGCATAAAAGATGCAGATTGCATATACTAGCCGTTATTGAGCCTGTGCAACATATACCATCTAGTTCTCAATCTACATTGTTCAACATATGCATACAATTCATTTTCATTATACCTTAAACCTAATTTACATTCATTGTACAATACGGACATTCTTAAACATTGACTATCGTATGTGAACCATGTAACGTACCTTACATCATACGTCGCATATTAGACAGTAGATAGCACATATCATGCTGTGTGTCATCATTGCTATGTAAGGTATACAACATACCAACCCGAGCATCTATTATTCATCATAGCAAACAGCATACAGCATATCAGGCAATCCAGAAGGTATGAAATGCCTATATAGTACACAACATATAACCTATAGAACATGTAGAATGAACATAGATTTTTTTTACTGTATTATTTGTACGAAGTGTCTGCGATACACGATACAAACTGCAGAACACGGCACATCACATAGTTAGTGTATGGTGCATAATGTATATATATATATATATATATGTATATATGTGTATATATATATATATACATACATATGTGTGTGTATGTATATGTAACTGTACATATATATATATATATATGGATATAGATATAGATATAGATATAGGCATGTCTATATATATATATATATATGTACATCTACATGCGCATGTATTTGTAGATACATATATATATATATATATATATATATATATATATGTATATATGCATGATAGACAGTACAGTTGATAGCAGGACAGTTGAAAGAATACGACACCAGAGACCCAACAGAGAATGTAGCAGAGGCCCCTAGAAGTAAGAGGTCAGAGGCCTTGTGCTTTCACTTCAGAGATGCTCAATGAAAAGGAGCAGGGCTTGCAGCTAGATCTCTTGTTCATTGGAGGGTTGGCTGGGTTTAAGTACCTTCCTTCCCCTTTGATTAGTTATCAGCCGTAGCTCTTTGCTTTGACTGGTTTCTCTACTTAAACCCGGCCGCAATGGCTTTAGTGGTTGATCTCCTGCCATTGCTTCCTTCGCGCGCTCCAGCCCACGGGAGGGCGCTGCACAAAGGCGCGCCTGGACGGTCCATGCCCCCGAGGAACGACCCAGGCAGACCGTACCGTGGAGGGCGGGCGCGAAGTCCCGCAAGCGCAACTTCTATCAGGCCCAGGACGCCATTATCAGAGAAGGTTAGAGGCGTTTTGAGCTGGCTCGGGTGAGGCCGAGGGCGCAGCAGGCGCACCGGCCCCCTCAGGGTGCTGCCGCTCCAGCTGGCGGGACAGCCAAAGGCTGCAGCGAAGTGGCAGCCGAAGCAAAAGGAGAAGGCAATAGCTGACGAAGCGGGTGCAGCCAGTGTCGCGCCGGACCCATCTGCCTGCAGAAGTGTCGGGGGCACCAGCAGTGGCCAAGGGTGCTGCCAAGGGTCGCCTCGGAGCAGCCGAGGATCTGTATTCTCCAAAGCGTCAGAACCCCCTTTACGAGGAGGAATGTGCAGACACCGCCGGAGGCTGTTGAGGACGATAGTGGGGCGAGGCCAAGCTCGGAGCCGCCAACGAGGGCAAGATCTGGGCCACCTGCCGTGGACTTGGCGCGTGCCGGCGGCGCACCGCGAGAGGAGAACCTCAAGAATCTCTTTTCGCCCGGACACCACACTCGCGGAAAGCACAGCAGGAAGACAGCTTTCGTGATCTTATTTGTGGCGTCGCTGCACAAGGCCGACCTGTCAGAGCACGAGGCCGAAGAAGGAGCGCAGGAACAGCAGGAAGGAGCAGCAGGAGGAAGCCGAGGAGGTGGAGGTCGTGGTAGAGGTCGCTGCAGACGACAGCGGGGGCACCGGACGACGAGCCTGCAGAGGAAGGCCGCTACCAAGGCGAGGCTGGAGCAGAGGAGGCATTATCCTTTTTTTGTGGTGGAAGTGCGTTTGTGAAGATGTCAGCAGCGTGTGAGTTGGTCTCGAGGTATGCAAGATCTACGTCATCCTCATGTGTCACCTCGGCAATACAACCCAAGTTGAACTTGTGGGTGCGCACTATGTGCCTAAGCTTTGGCGAATAGCCCTTCTTCACGCCTTAGATCGTAGCCAGGTTGTCCTCGTGGATCACTAACCGGATTGGACGTCTGCCAGAGCTGCAATGCGGGAAGTGCTTCCTGGAAGAGGCTATGAGCTAGAGGCACAATCTCTGACTCAGTGGTATTGCGACTCACAGATGTCTGGCGCTTAGAAACCCACGCTAGGCGAAAGAAGGTCTTAGGGCCTTTAAGGACTATAGGAAGCCTCCGCTGGTGGACTTGGCGTCGTCCCTTTCCCCAGCAAAGTCGGCGTCAATGTAGAGCGCAAGATGCAGCTCCCCTGGCCCATCCGAAGCGGTGCCTACCAATCTGCGCATCAGACGAAGCAGCTTCTTATCATCGTTCCGAGGCCACTTCTGCACCTTGATGGCTAGGTCACCGATCGGTTTGACCTGGTCCGGACGTGCGGGCCTGCCCAGCCATAGGGTCTTCATCAGACGAGCTCAAGAAGCTGCTGCAGCTCATCCAGGAGACCACATGGCACTCGTGCCGTGTCACGCTGCTCGCGGCGACTGTTCACGGATCTGGAGATCGGTCTCCAAGCCAATTGGAAGGGCCCCAGTCAGTTGGTCCTGAAGTACACTCGCAGCCGGATAGAGATCTCGATCGAGATGGTTAAGCACCTCACGAAGAGGATCACGATGGACTGGAAGTCGCCGCCTGAGCTCCAGGTCGGCGACTGCACTCTGACGTATGTGACGAAGCCGCAATCGGCTTCGGGGCCCTGAAAGGAACTTGGCCTGAAGTACCACGGTGTGTACATAGATTCATAGATGGCGCGGAGTCCGAACGGACTCTGTGCGGCCGCTACCGCTACAAGATCACGAAGTGCGAGGATCTAGATGAGATCTCCCCAAGCACTCAGATGTGCGCAGTTCTAGCAAGATCTTTGTGGTCCCGTGAGCTGGTGATCACATGCGCAGGTTGTGATGTTATGTCTGGTTCGAGCGTGCGTGTGGGAGGGTGTCCAGGCCACAGCTCCGTTCGGGTGAAGCTCCCTCGCCATGGTCGATCGAACCGTCTGATGAGGACGCAACGCCCAAGCTTGTAATCTTCGAGAGACAAGGGGCCGTTCACTGTCGAGATGTTCGCGATGCCCGGACAAGATCTGACGTCCGCAAAGGAGACTCTGCGGAAGCTTTGAAAAAGCGATATGGCTCCGCTCGGGGCAGACGCGGCGGCGCAGGAGCTCTCCGTCATGTCTCTGGCAGCCGTGAAACGATGGATGGTCCTCGGGAGGAAGTGGCTAGTGCACCTCCCATGCCTGATGCTGGATTGGAGATTGGTGGTCAACCTGAGGAAGAAAGCAACGTATTCACGGATCCAAACTATGAAATTCACGCGGCAGGAAGGGCATCATCTGAGCCTCCCCAGCAGTCTAGAGAAGGCACAGGATCTATGGATGTTGGTGCCGGTTCCATGGACGTTGATGAAAAGGAAGTGCAGCTTCCTCAGGCAGGCGACCCAAAGCCAAAGCTCGACCACGACGCGGTGGCTACACTGTCACAAGCGAACTGATCCTCATCACAATACGACACTCAGCACAACTGTGGTCATGAAGTCGCAAATCGCCGAGGAGCTTTCCTTCCCTGCGGTGTGGACACCGCTGACATCGGACTACCCAACAATGACAAGAGACAACTGACTCTCTGGCGAGAAAACAGTCGGACCGAGTTTGCCTGCAGGGCACAACCTGGATCCTAAGGGCTTCTTGATTTTGGTATTCGGACCTTTTCTGAGATTCAGGGTTGTGGCTAAAGTCAGTGTACCTTGGCTTGGAATTGCTCCGCGTCAGCTCATGTAAGTGATTGCCCTGAGTATGGCATATATCCCAACAACAGGTTTGTCAAAGCAAACCACATCTACATCAATACGCTCGGTGAGGTGTGCATACATATCGAATCATCGATACCAAGCCCTCACGCAGTACGAAAACCAACATGAAGGTTCATATTCTTACGAATACAAAATCAATTTTGTTCATAGTACTTTTTCTTCTTCTTTCTACTACTAGTCTATCATTTTTTGAAGGTATTACTAATGATTTTCACGTTGATATTAAACTGAATCCTAATACTCTTACGAACACTAATACGCATAGTAATATCAACAGCAATATGGATCATGCGTCTAGGAATAGTCGTTAATAACATTGAATATTAATACCAAGATACACACTAGTGCTAGTTCTCAAACTAATACGAGTGTGCATATCCCTACGGGTACTCATGGTCCATTGTTACAAAGTCATATAGGTGTCAATATTGATAGTAGTACTAATACTAGCATATACATACATGTACTAATGCAGGTTACTAAACTTACTATTCGAGTAACACACAAAAAATGCATCAATCTGTTAAAGCATCAAGATTTTCATATACCAATATACATATATATATACATACCTATGTATATTGTTTTACTAGTATACTAAGATACTAGAAATAAGACAAAATGAAGATGATTAATAATGTATGTTCTGTGTGCGCTTGCCCAAGCAGATGCATACATGCAGCAGTATGGGCTCTGAGATCAATACGCAAGAGGAGAAAACAGATATGTGACAAAACATAACATAATAATAATGGCACATTAAATAAAGACATAAAGACTGGACCCAGTTTTTCCCACTCAAACAAAACGCGCCGGGATGGTAAATAGTCTCCATGAAAACCAAATTTTCGGCTCGAATCCGGAACGGCACCTAGACAGACACACGTATATACATATGTATGTATACATACACGAAACTATACATACACAGTACATACATTCTTATCTACTTCGACAGAAACATGTACACTGCATACTCCAAGCAACAGGCCCCGGTGCAGTTTGCCTCGCTCTTCATCCTCTCGCATCTTCGACGATGCAAACGGCAAGGCAAGAGTGTGTCCATCCTCTTTCTCGACACAGCCTCTGCATATTACAGAGTCATCAGAGAGCTGGCCCTGGGAGATATTCGTCTTGACAGTACGATCATGAGACTGTTCAAGCGATTTGGGCTCAGCTCAGACGACATGAGAGATTTGCTAGAAACGATCGCTGCTGGAGGCATGCTGTTGCAATCTGGGCTTCCAGATACCCTCTGCAAAATCGTTCGAGACCTCCATTTGGACACTTGGTTTATCACGCGGTTTTCGAACGGGAAGCAGCTCTGCAACAGTTACGCAGGGAGCCGCCCAGGCGAGTCCTGGGCGGATCTCATTTTCGCTCACATCTATTCCCGCATCCTTCATCGTACGCAGGAATTTGTTGCAGCAGAGGGCCTCGGCCACCACCTCCCGCACAACCCACAAGATGGGATTTTCTGCCAAGACCCAGGAGATGTTCTCCTACCCAGCACTGACGCCACTTGGGCAGATGACAGTGCCTTTCCATTGGAGTCGGATAGCCCAGGACTTCTACTGGAGCACACCAGTAGGCTTTGCTCACTGGTGGTGTCGTTCTGTGAAAGCCACGGTCTTATGCCCAACCTTCGACCGGGCAAGACGAGTCTCTTGATCTCCCTGGTTGGCAGCGGAAAAGACAAGGCTCGGAGGGAGTTCTTTGTTGATGGAGCTAAACATCTCCGCCTACCTGACCTCGGGATCGACATCCCGGTTGCGGACCGCTACAAGCATCTCGGTGGCTATGTGGACCAGAAGTTGTCAATGCAGCCGGAGGTGAAATTCCGATTAGCGCAGGCGAGTAGCTCCTATGACTCCGCCCGCTACCTTCTCCTCAACAACCCAGAGCTACAGCTGGACACGAGGGCAGCACTGTTCGAAAGTGCTGTCACCCCCAGCCTCTTCAATATCGGGTTGTGGATCCCGGAGGGACAGGCTTGGCACTCGCTCAATGTTGGGTACTCGAAGCTAGTCAGGAGACTTCTATCGAGGAAGGCCAAGAGTGATTTGTTCCACCTACCACTGCCCTTGGTCCACCGGACCACGAACTGCTGGAGTCTCCCTCTTGTGGCGAGACGCTCGCGCCTCAGCTTGCTTGTCTCGCTGGTACGAGCGGGCCCTCCCCTGTTGTGGGCAGCACTTCAAGCAGAACAAGCATGGCTACAAACTGTTCGAGACGACCTTCAATGGCTGATCGCGGAAGACTCCGACAAGTGGCCCCGGCTACATGCTAGTGCTTGGCCCCAATGGGTACGGCTGATAACGCAGAGCACTCAGTACTTCCGACGACAGGTTCGAAGCCGTCTCCGCCAAGCCCATGCCGAACAATGTCGTCAAGATCTAGAGCTAGTATGCCTCTGGCACTGCCACAGAACTCTTACGGCGGGCCTCGTACAGCCTCATAGCCTTCTCATTTGGCGATGCTGTGCCTGTGACCGGTCTTTCAAGACCAAAGCTGCATTGGGAGTCCATCTCTTTAAATGCCATGGCAGAGTTGCAGAGCATCGCCGGGTCTCGAGTGGGACCAGATGCAAAGCTTGCCACAGGGAATACTGGACGACCGGAAGGCTTGAACGACATCTTCGTGACAGTCAAGCCTGTGTCAACAGCTTGAGAGAGGCCGGTCTATGGGCCACTACACTGCAACCAGGAGTTGGCAGTAAAGACCGACGAAAGCGAGACGCGGACCAGTTCACCCTCTCGCTGCCTCAGCAATGTGACGGAGTCCTCCTGCCGCCGGCAGAAAGCTCCTGGAGCTCTGTACAAACGGCAGCCTACCGCAGCCTTTGTGAGAGACTCTTTGCGGCGGACTACTCAGGACCGATCCGAGACCAGATCAAGGACAACCTGGTGCTCCACCCGCTCTACCCAGGCGAGATTGTTGAGATCTGCGAGTGCATCCTGGAGGAGGCTGCTCAGCTCCAAGCTGATGCTGACGTACACCCATGGAGTGAGACGAGCTTTCAGACCATTGTCTCCACCATTGAGGAAATCGCAGCTGGTTGCTGGACATCGAGTCCTTCTCCTGTGACCGATCCGCGGCAGACGCAGAGCCTCCTGGGCCTGCAGAAGGTCCTCTCGACAATTGCCTGGGACGAGCTGATCTCCAAAGTAGTTCAGCCTGACGGGACCCCCGAGGTGGTCTGCATTACAGTGCAGAAAGGCTGGGAAGCTGAATGGCTGCTGCACAGTAAGAACACCTCGGTTTCAGCCGTCAGTGAAGATCTGAGCTCGCTTTTGCCGAAGCAGCTGAAGCATGCTTGGGGACTGCTCCTAAAGGGTTGCACCGTACAGCTCCAAGCGCCAGCAGACTTCTGGCTTCTGCCCTTATGTGCGCCCTTTCGTTGCGCCAGGGCCGACATTGCAAGCATTAATTAGGCTGCGCACTCCACTAACAGCACGGAAATGCGGAAATGTATTTGTATAGTAACTGTTTTTTTGATGACTGCAGATTGCGTATTGTATGCGGTGTATTAAGTGTATGGGTGAAACAGAAGCGGACGGCAGTACTTAGAAAACATAGTGGCTGTGCTCCCGAACCGCCAGTGTCTTTTTCGGGTCTGCCCGGGAGCTCCTGCTTTTCTCATCATTGCCGTGGCGGTCTCTTATGTCGTAGAGCCATGGTCGTGCTGGCGGTCCTGGCGGTCTTGTTGGTCTCGGCGTGCGGCTCTGTCACTGTTGGGCTGTGGACTCAGGGACAGTTCAAGGACGGATGAGGCAGGCGAATCGGTTCGGGCATCTTATACAGGAGACCAACAAGGCCAACAATCATTATCCATCATCAGCATCATGATGCGCCCACTATGTACAGCATGGCCTACAACATGAAATTCATCGTCGTCCTCACCATCGCAGATGTGAATGGGGAATGCAAATCCATGACAACATGGCTGCGCGAAACGAGGTAAGGAACGGCCTCACACAGGCACTAAGGAAGAAGCAACTTCGGAAGAGCGAAGACGACGTCGTTAAGACCCCCACCGCCACCCTCACCCAATGCGTTGTATACACTTTGATGCCGACAAAAATGGCGAGACACTGGACGGCAATCCGGACGCTAGCATATACATGTACTTTTGCATGCATGCACGCACCGGTGCTCATTCTTGCATACTTGCCTGCCTCTGATAAGCCCGCCGTCAAGGTTCTGGAGGAGCTCCTCAGGCTGGTCAGCAACCGCAAGGCTCGACATAGCACTGCGAGAAGGGGGGTAGATTCGAGTAGAGAACAAGAGCAGAGCTTGTAGTGCTGGATTTGTTGTTGGGTTTTTCTCCGTGGAGTTTGATGATTGCGAGCGGAGGGGGGTGGGCGATCGAACCGGACTCGAAGGACTGGGAGCGCGCAGATCTTTTGTGGAACTTTCTCGTGTGCAGCCACCACGTCCAACCCACGCCGTGGCTTGGACCTGTCTGCAAAGACGGGGATATGGTGATTTCAGCAGTGTCGGAGTCGAGACCAGCCGAGATCTGCAGAGTGCATGGATTACACCGTCATTCCGCAAGTGTCTGTCGATGCTTGATGATTCTAGGGCCGCTGAGATAGGACGTGCACCCGCATTCCGGACAGAACCAGCAATTGCTCTATTTGCTCGGTGACCTAATTGCTGCAATTACGCAGAGCTGTCTATCTGAAGAAACCTCCGAACAGCAAGGAAGAGCTACGCAGCACATGCGGAAGCTCACTTGCTGGCTGGGCGCCCTGCCAGTGCTGCCACCATCGTAGAGGACAGAGACAGGGTGTACTTGAGCCAGGCCCTTGCAGTAGCCAATACCGGGCGATAGCTGACCGGCCTTTCTTAGGAGTCTTGTCACATTAACATGCGACCTTCATGAAGGCACGAGGGCTTCATTCGCACAAGCCACGCACAATCATAACGTTGCTTGATGCATCCTCCAGGCTATGCTTGACGCCGGCGTGGGCCCAATCACTCCTGACACGATTGCTGCTCAGACGCACCAGCTCGGCTTTCGTACCTTTGTAGGGGAGCTGCTCATCCAGAGTGCCTTTGCATCCGGTCTTCGCAAATTGCAAAACGCCGCAAGAACCGTCTCCGCTCGAAAGCAGATGCAGATAGCGGTCACAGAGATATTTATGCGACTGATTACGTGCCATTCGGAAGGCTGCTTACATGCAGATGTTGATCGTGATTTGCCACTCCGATCCGACATCCTCGAATATGGCGCGCTTGAGGGACACTCAATCAGCATTAGGAGGCTTACTTCTGGATCCTCATGGACCCGCCTTGATTTTGCTACAAGCTGCTGCAAGCAGTGTGACCCTGAGCAGGGCGTCACTGCAAGCACACATGGGCTCATCCGAGGCTGCGATGGAACTCGCGGAAGGCGCCAGCAAATCCAAGCATGCCTTCACATTCAGATTCGGATGTGGCATGACTTCAAGCACGAGTCTCTGGAAATATTGAGTCTTCTGCAGGCCTCCACACCACCGGGGTGGCAGCTAAGGAGCTGACCAAGCTGACGAAGGCTGGACGGTGGCCGGCTGCAGCGTACTAAGAAAGCGGAAATCAGAAGTATAGTGAAGAACGCAGCAAAAAAGTGACAGGTTGCCGCGTTGCTGATGTCGGACCCGTGCACACTGCCCTTTCGCCAAGTACCCTGGAGGATTTTTTGGGCTCTTCAATTCATCCGAAAGTCTTGGGCTCTTCTTAGTCTTCTGGGACAATCTGTCTGGGAGACGAGCTCCACATGGTAACAAGCAACCATGATCAGCACTCCTCTGGTCTGCAGGAGATGTTGAGTTGCTGTGTAGGTACATTGAAGTTTGTGACATGCTGAAGCCAACAACCGAAACGAGGTATTGGTTGCGCAAGCAGCGCAGCGGAGTGTCATGAAGGGCTGGCGCAACGCGCGTGGCGGCAGCTGCTATGTGCGTCAGTAAAAGCTCTTGCTGGCACGGTTTCCTGTGGTGGCACAGAGCAGGCGCTCTGTACCCTCTGCCTGGTGCTTTATAAGACTGTATCAGAGAATGGGCCGCAAGTTTGGCAAAGCTCGTGCCCAGGTATCATTGGGGGTTCATGAAGGCCACGCACCACGTTCTACGGTGTGGCTGGGATGTATGTGATTCACAGAAGTCTATTGGCTTTCGTTCTCTGACAAACAAACATGAGCAGAATGACCTCAGGTGTGTGCTTCTACTGCTCCAAGCTGCTCGCGGATCCGAAGGCTGTCGGTTCTTTGCAGGTGTAGCGAAGCGTATCACGAAAACCAGGCCTAATGCGCCGGGGCTTCTCGAGCTGCTCGCTGCAGGATCTCAAGATGCAGAATGCCATGAAGCAGGTCAGCAGAAAGAAGCGGCTGCAGGCACTAACATGCCGACTGAAGAGCACACTGCGAGTACTGTCACAGGGCTGCTTCCTGCGGGCCACAACAACTCAATCCCGCCAGAGGCCGTCATGCTTTGCTGCAGGGCACGGCGGACGTGTAGTGTGAAGCAAGAGGAAGAGGCGGGGCACCAATTGTGTCTGATGGTTGCATGCCCGGAGCGGAATGCGTGGAACCCCTGCCAGGAAGGGGAAGACACAGCACTCAACAGCAGCATCGACCGCGAAAGAGCAAATGATAAATTACACTTCCTGTTTTGAAGGTCTTGATATGTCTGAAACGTCAGGAAGCTCTTCATTGTATCGGGCATTCATCCGGCATCCTACCTCAGGGGTCGGCCGATGGGAGAACCATGTTTCAGCCATCATCTCCCACATTGCCACAGGGGAAAGAACGGACGCATCTTGAGAAATCTCGTATGAAAGCGCTGCCAGCATCCGGTTGGACGGGACAAGACGGCTGGGTGAGGGCATCTGGCGTCGAGACAGCAGGACAGCATGATACAGCATGAAGGCAGGCAGTACCCGAGTCTGGAAAGATGGGCCACAGCTTCTAGTTCTTTGCATCGCAACTACCTGTGGAAGCCTAAAGGCAATCATGAGGATACACGAGCTCATATGAAGGCAGACAAATCCTCGGAAAACACAACCTCTGGCCATTGGAAACGTAAGCGAACGTGCGGTCGCGCAGGCTGCACATGAGCAGGTCAAGGAGAGACAAGAACAAGCTACCGGCAGAGAGCATCAAGGAGACATGGGAAAACATGAAGCCGGCCGTGTCAACGACCGATTGCGATTGGCGGACACCAGAAAGGACACAAGGAAACATGCGAGGCAGGTGCGGGCATGAACACGTCACACGGTACGTGTTCCGGACGTCCCAGCAAGTAACGAGGACGGATCGCAAGCAAAGCGACTTTGCAGTGGGGCACATCACGAAGATGCCCAGCCCACGACGTTATGCAGCACGGTGTGAGAACCTGGCAGTCGAAACATGTTTTAACAGTCTTCGCTGTATCGGCATGTGTTCCAGAGGCCCCGCCAGATGGAGTGCCAGGCCTCGAGTTGGGATTTCCGGGTGGCTTCAGAGTCGGCATGGCGTGCTTGGATAGAGTTGGCCTAGAAAGCTTGGCAACTCGGCCCAGATGGCGACGCCTCCAAGTTCAGAGGAGGTTGTGGGTTGCGGCCCGAGAGATGGAGTTCTTCCTGAAGCAGATTTGAAAACTCTTCTGGGCACGAGGGCATCAAGAAATGGATTGTCATGTGTGGAGACCACGGCATGCATCCGTGGCGCCAACACATGTTCTCGGCTTTCCAGGTATCTGCAGCCTCGCTACTACGTAGACGCCACTGCCCTTCCCTCAGACCCATCTCTTCAAGCTTTCTGCTGTCCGCACTTTGTGTCAGTTCCTGCATGCCAAATGAAGGCTCGTTATGAAAGCTGACAAGCGCCGCCGTTTAGGTTATGATGGTGGCCTTCCCGGATATTGACGGTCAGGAGGTCGCGGACAGAGCAGTTAGTTTTCGTGGTGTCAATTCTTTACTGCCAGAATCCAGAATCTGACACTCCTCGTTCTCGGGCTTCCAACTGCTGAGACACACTGACTCCCTGCTACCTTGTCTCCGGAGCCTCGAATGCGCAGCAGATTCCGAGGACAAAGGTCAAGATCGAAAGAGGATGATGTCAGCGGACGAGGCTCCAGAAGTTCATCAGCTACCCTTGCTATCACGGACTTGAAAGGCAGTTTCGTGCCATCTCGTGCCCTTTTGTGCCATTGCCTTGCGCATTAGAGATCTGCTGGGGTTCGCAGACGCTGACGATCTTCAAGAGAATCAGCGACGTGCCGGGCCCCGAGAGCTCTTCTGCGGGACCAGTCCAACGCAATTCTTGGCTTGGGTTAGCCTCTCTCCGACTCCGAATTCCAGAGAAGCTGTCTGCGCTTGCGGCTTGCAGGGATGTGAAGCGAATGGGCTTCGACCCGGCGTCCGGCCATCATCCGAAGAGCCTGATCTTGGTCGCTCGGCTCACAACGAGACTCACCACAGCAGTGAAGCATCGTCAAGCTACAGGACGGCTTTGTTACATATTATGTGTCAGTGTCGCGTGTCAATGCCCGGAGCCCAATGCGCAGACACACCTTGCCATCCCTCCTCCTCACGTACGACCGACCATCTCCTTCGGTGCCCAGCGGAGCGAGGACTCTGAAAGCCCAGGCTGCTTGTTGGGATACTGCTCTCGGTTGCCACGGAGGGTTTGCAACTGACTCTCGATAGCCCGCACTCTACATGCGTCTACTACGAGAGGCATCGCTACATTGTCGCTGCTGAGGCATAGTAGACGTAATGAATAGTGGTGAGCCTGCTGAAGGCTAGGAAGCGAGGCTTCCAGCTTCAAACGCACTGTCACTTGATCGTCCGCTCGCCTCTCAAGTTGCAGCAGAGAGGGTGGAGGGGTGTCCATGAATGTTGGAAATTTTCAATACACATTGCTGTTAACGCCATGTGGCAAGTGTAAACTCGTTCGAAGGGCATCCTTTGAGGCAAACCTTGGCAGGGTCGTGCTTGCCCCCGGTGGCGCATTGCCAGACCGTCTGATGAAGGATGTCGCAGCATGACAGGACGGGACCGAGTTATCAAGTCTGTGTTTTTGTGGTGTTTGTGTGCGTCCATCAAGATAATGTGAGCATTGACTGAAATCACAGAATCCAGCTCCAAGCAGAAACTGCCGGAGCTTCTTGGGCCTTGCACAAACTTAAGCCGAAGGGTGTTGTGACGAAAAAATCGTCTTAAACTTAATCCATCCGGAGGATGGACGAGATGCAGCAGGCCCACGTTGCCAATTTCACGAAGCTGTAGGTCGATCGGAAGCAACGGTCGTAGCCGTGATCTCAATGCAGGGGCCTGCAAGATTTGGTTTGAGACCCAGCCATGAAAGCCCGATGGCAGGTTGATACCACCAGGCCTGTGGTGGGCGACATTGACCTGGTGGAGGTGGGCTCCAGACGTCAGCGTCCGTGCTAGATAGGAGCGCTCGACGGCGAGTCTGATCCGAATCTGCACCAGGCCCGAGTCCACTTGGCGGCGGCGCAGTATCATAGCAGCCTGGCCAATGGAAAGTGCGGTGCTTGGTGCCATGCCACCGTCCCGAGTCGGAGAGTGATAGTGGTTGAGCGACGAATGCATTCCTACCAGTGGGTATCCATTTTATTATTTTAGTATGTTAATATGTAGGTGATTCCGATCTTCTGTGTCGCATACCTGAGCTGTTGCTCTTGCACGACTTGGTGCTGAACTTTGTAAAGAGGCCAGCGCTGATTTTTCTTACATTTGCCACGAGGCTCTTGCCACGCCCACCCGATGCCCCGCGAGTGCGTCCTGCCAGGGCCTGAGCAAGACAGGTCTTTTCATTCTGTGCGCGGTTTGCCCGGCGACACCCTAGTAACTCCGAAGGCCAGTGCCGGGGCACGCCCGGCGCAACAGGCCCAATTTTGAAGGGTTGGGCGAGATAGGAGTGTGCCAAAGTGTGGCACTACATCTCAGATTGCACTATACAGAAATGTTCGGGTCACCATGTCATGATTCCACTTTCCCCCGAATGCAGCTTCTGAGCCAGGAGACTCGCCTTGCGAGGCCCTGGTCGGCGCAGACCGTCCGCAGCAACAGCCAGCCAGGGTCCCAAGTCCCGCTTGTCCTCCGCAGTGAAGGCAACGGCGGAACCAGATTTCTCTCACAGTGCGTGTGGAGGAGGTCTCGCACAGGCCTGATACAGGTATTCGGTATTCGATTGCTCACTTCAATACCCGATGTACATTCGATGACCGAAGCCTCCAGACACGAAATTGGAGAAGCCATTTTTGGCCCAGCTTGGCGACCTTTCGCCCATTATTGTGTCCCGACCGGGGAAGTTGCAAGCAATGGGGATCACAGCTCTCCTAGATCCACATGGATAATTGAGATCCTGGGCATTTTGCTTTGCCTCCTGGCTTGGTTCATGCACACTCCATTCCTCGGTTCCTCGCCCTTTCGGATCCTTTCTTGAGGCATGGCGTCGTGCGCGACCTCCGAGCATCTCGTGAGTCGGCAGCGGCAATGGAGACACTTGCTGAAAGTAGGAGCTCAGATTCGATCGCAATTTCGCTTGTTTTTGCCCAACGTGGCCTTGCCGCCTTAATGGTGTTGTGGGCTTCGTGGGTGAAGCTGTTGAAGCAGAAAATGCTTGATCCAGGCACGAGGTGGGCAGGCCATTGTCGGTTGGCATTCCGGCTGTAGGGTTTCCTTTCCAACCTACTGCCTACGTTATGTACTTTAGCTTACATATCATCCATCACCTTCGAGAACGAATGCCTGCTGAGCTGTGCTGGACAACCGAGGAGTGCCACAGAGGCACTAGCAGGCACTGAGGGCATGTTTCATCCGGGCTTGGTTTGTGACTCGGGCCGTCGGGACAGCAGTGGACACACCAGTTGGACAATGTCAGAGAGACTAGATCGACGGTATATTTGGTTAAAATACTTGCCCGGCAAGCCAACATCTCCACACACGGCATGCGCGTTTGGGTCTCAGACTTGTCCAAGCTGCTCCAAGAGAGCCTCCGGCCCCTTGCGCGGCATTTCGGCTCCGTGGACCCTTGTGATATGCAGATGGCGCGGTTGCAGAGGCTGGGCATTAGGAGGTGCTTTTGTGACATGGATAGGGAGCAGCCCCGTTCCGGGATCGTCGGCATGATCTCGACACCGCCACAGCTTCAGGTAAGCTTGGATGCCATGGGGGTGTTGGATCCTCAGCTGGCCCAGGCGCGAGCTTCAGTTTAGTCAAAAGCCAAGGCTCAGACCAACTGTATTTGGCAGGCAGAGGACCTCCTGGCCTCTGAGGAGCATCAGAAGGCCCTGGCAGATGTCATGAATTCTGTAATTCTAATGCATGCCTATATGTTTTTTCGGGCGTATGTGGCCTTTGGGTGATTGCCGTAGTGCTTATATGAGCCATAAAGGCGCTCTTTTGGATGGCCGTTGTCGGGGGCTCCATGATTGGTTCTGCCTTCCTCAGCTTCACTTCCATCAAGGCGAGGCGTTTGGCAGAGGAGGCGCTGAGCGCCGCGCGGGCCCGCGGAGATCTCGAGGCTTCCAGCGGCTTTGGGCCTCCGTTTGCCTTGTCCGTTGCCGCTTCCTGTTTAGGGTTTGCAGTAAAAAGAAATGGCCCGTCGCAGTGCGAAATACAGCTTCGTTCGCCAGCTGCTTTCCATATGGAGTTTCATGTCTGTCGCCGTCTGTCACCTTACACAGGTCTTCCCATGTTGGAGGAGCATTGCAAGGGCAGGTCTTGGAGCTCCTATCTGAAGCAACCCAATAAGATGCCGAAGGAAGACGAAAGGCAGAGCGTAAAGCCAGAGCCTAGATGTTCAGTCTTGCCACATTATGCGGAAGCTAGAACAGTTATATAAAGTTATATGTCTGGGAATGAGTGGGACATGCTAATTCGAAGCCTGAAGCCGAAAGGGAGGAATGTGCCGTGCCGAAGCGAAAAGGAGTCCCACACAAGCAAATCCCACGTGAATAGTGAATCCGCACGGTGCTGGGGAGCACGGTTTGCTACTTTCAAAGCACAAGCCCGTGCGAATGGTACGTAGCAGCTCGAAAATCCCGAAAATGCAGTTGGGGCCGGCGACTCACCACGCAACGAAAAAGACGCGAGCAAATTTAGTTTTGCAGCTTCCAGTTCTGTCTTCAAGGAGTGTAACTATAGCTGGTTGAAGAACAGCTCAAAAAGTATGTCTGTGTGCATGGATGGATAGATGGCTGGGTGGGTGGGTGGGTGGGTGGGTGGATCTGTGTATGTGTATGTGTGTATATCTGTATATGTATGTACGTATGTATGTATGTATGTATGTATGTAAGCATGCATGTATGTGTGCGCGTGTGTGTGTGTATGTATGTAATGTAATGTATGTATGTATGTATGTATGTATGTATGTATGTATGCATTATGTATGTAGGTGTGTATGTATGGATGGATGGATTGCTGGCTGGGTGGCTGGATGGCTGCATGGATGGATGGATGGATGGATGGATGGATGGACACATATATACGCAACCATATATATGGTCACGCGCTCCGCGGCCCCGCCTCCCCCTCCAAAGGTCACTGGTCCGGATATAAGGTGGGACCCCCCTCCCCTGTGGTGTGGGGTGTGAGGTCCCTCTTCCCCCTGTGGGGTGGTTGTGGGGTTTTGGGGTTTAGGGTTTAGCTTAAGCTTTTGAGTGTTGGGTTTACGGTTACAAGGTATAACGCTTCGAGTCGACAAGGGCTTAGGGAGGATTTGCGGTGTATGTTCTGCTCTAGGCTTAGAGCATGCAGTTAGGTGGGGTTTAGGGTTGGGTGTAGGGTTTGAAGTACAAGTTAAGGTTACTCAAAACTCAAAACAGGGGCACGCGCTGCGTTATAGGGTTTACGGCTTGCTTGCGAAGGGCTTGCGTGTGAGCCCTGGCCGCCAGCACCATCCCACCATCCAGTGGCAGCTCCAACCCCGACCCCTTTCCGCACACGCCAGCCCCCCCCGCCCCCACCCCTAGCAGACCATACCATTGGGGGGGGGGGGGGGCTGGGAACGCCACACGCCTGACCATATATACCCACATACACACTAGATCAGATCAGATGGAGCTGGTTGGGACATAGCTTAAAGTTTTTATTACGTACATGTGGGAGCACAGCAACGGATGCTAGTTTTGTGCATTTATAGACACTGGTGTATTTTTCTCTATCTCTCTCCCTCTCTCTTTGTGTCTTGTGTGTGCGTGTTTTGTGGCGGGACGGAGCGTGCGCTGGCGGGCGGGCCCACGGGCACTGTGGGCTGGTGTGCGCAAGTTGGGGGGCGAACAGGTCGTAGGCGGGCGGCTACTTTACGCGTTGGGGGTTTCTTTGGTTTGGACAGGGATTGTCTTTGCCGGGATGCATGGGATGGATCTTGCGGGCAGTAAGTATTTAGTCTTCGAAGTCCGGCTCGTGCTTGTTGAGAGGTTTCGGCGGATGCGCTCGAACCTCAGACAGGTGGTAGTTGTAGAGCAGCGTGCCACTGTCGACAAAGACTTGCGGGAAGAAATTCCTGCAACTGAATTTCGTGCTTGTCGTAGCACATGCACAGTGATAAAGTGACGACCGCTGACTTGGAGCTTGTCGGAAGTCAAGTAGTGGGACGAAGTGCAAGTGAGCCGCTGTGGAGCAGATTTGGGCATCCACGCCCCAGATGTGTGTTGGACAAGACCCTGCTAGTTTGCTACCGCTACAAAGCGCGACAAGTTCTCTGTCTGTCACGATGTGAAGCCCAGTCGCGCACTTTCGCTTTGCTCTAGAATGCAAGCACAATGAGAAGGTCAAGCCGCATCTCCCAACACTTGCACGTTAGCTTGTATAGGATGCCTAGGCATGCATGGCATGCAAGCAGGTTTAGGGAGGGGGATCATATACCTGAGAAAACTCATTTTCTCGAATCGACGTGCTTGCGCTGCAGGCTGCGAGTCATAGTCAACTGCTGCCGCGTGCAAGCACAGCAGCCTCGTTACAAGGCCTGGGAACGTTTGAGTCTCGCCTGCCGGGCACGGCCACAGCTTTTTCCCGAGCTCTCACAAAATTTTCTGCTGGCGAGGATGGCGCAGAGAAAAAGGCTGTACTCGTCGAGGCGATGCCCTTGTGCGTCCCGAAGTTGGGCTTCTGGCATTGGCTAGTGCGTTGTAGACACCTGCTGCACTATTCTTGTGGAGTTCAGGCAGGAACTGCCCTTTCAATGTCACACTGCTGCGGCAGCTGTGCAGCTAGGGTGGTCCAACAGCAGGCGTTGGCTCAGGCGAAGGTCAACACGTTTCATGGGCATGTAAACATGTAGGGTTTGGAAAGCGCGTCAATGCCGCAAGGTATGGATTTGGACTGGCATGTTTTTGGTTCCAGCCGGGACCAATAGAGTGTGTTGAAGTCAACATTTGGGTCACGTAATGTGCAAACCCATAGTTTCAACTTGCTCATAGCTTCTCATCGGGTCCTGGAGTTTGGCAAGCTCGAGGGGGCTAGTGCTCCATCCCGATTTGAGACACTTATCTGTGGCAAGGCCGAAAAGCGTGCGAATGAGGAGCTGGCCTTCTTCCGCGATAAGGGCGACCGGCGTGGCGAGGAGAGACCGAGGGGCCTCTTTATTTCGAAAGTGCGCCCTTTGGTCAATGGGTTTCGGAGAACCTGGGTCGTTTCATGTCGTTTAGAACCAAAGCTTTCTTGTCTTCGGCACTCTAGTCGGGGCCATCAGGATTGCACCAAGGAAGTTTTGCAAACGCCGTTTACCCATTGGTCGGGAATTTCAGTGTCCCCGGAAGGTAAGCACAATGTATCGTGCAGATCTCTTGCAGGCCATGATGCTCCTTTGCGGGGCCGAGGCGATGTTGGAGAGCCGAAGGCAGGGAGGTTATTGAGTTTCCACCATGGGTTCGTTGGCTTCGGGCTTGGCAGATTTTGGAGAAATAGCTTGCAGAAAGGAATTCGGAGGCTGACAATGCCGGGCCTTGGTCGTCGCGCCGGCATTGAGCATCCGTTCAGGATCCCCGAAGGCCGACGTGGCAACAAGAAGCGACAGGAGGCGGGGGCAGCCGTCATATTTGTCGGCATAGAGCCTGTCAGAACTAGCTTCCATTTTGCCACTGCTGCCTTGCCTGCAAGCCTTGGTTTAAGCCCAACTTGGTGCGAACAACCGTATGCAGATCCTCTCAACATTCCTGATCCGCATTGGGGCTTGCAAGGTTCGGAGTTGTGAGCCCGATGCCATTGTGTTGGGCCGCTTTGCCATGTCTGCTGCTGGCCCCAGGTATTTGTGCGTTCTCTTTTGGATGTGCTTTGGCCGGAAAACGCCTAGGCTTGAATCTGACAGCTTTCTGGGTACTGTCAAGGAAGCAGCTCCTGCACAAGTCCTGTGACAGCGAATGTGAGAGGCTTCTTGAAGGCCATGTTGCGCTGTGGAGCCGTGTACAGCCGCTTGCTTGTCCATGTGCCGTTGCTGTCGCTTCGGCATGGCGATACGCAAAACTGGCAGACTCTTGGGATAGCGTTCCATATACACTGAAGGATTACGAGCAGATCTGGGATGAGCTGGCCTACCACGAGCGGGTGTTTAGGGAAGCAGGGCCACGATGCAATCTTGATGCCGTCGATGGGTGGCCGGCGACAGATGCTTTCCATGGTTTTGTTCAATCGAGCAAAAAGCTCCGCAACCTCGCCGACGAAGTTCGACGATATTACCAGCTCTGGGACGAAGACATGCTCAGTATTACAGATGAGGAGCACCTGCAGGCGCTGGCAGATTCAGCTGCGGTGCTCGAAGCTCTGGAGCTTGAGTGGTTTCCTGTCCGTGGGACACTG